TTGGGAAAGGGGGGGACCCCATTCCTTCAAACCCCGTCCCAGCCCCGTCCCGCCCCATTTTTTCCCAAACCAAACCCTTTCCCTGGTCCCTGGTTCACCCCCCCCCCCCCCCCCTTGCCTTCCCCGCTTCAGATCCGCAACCCTGAAGAGCGGCTGTTGCGGCTGCAACTCACCGGCGGACGCTACGACCTCCTCACAAACAAGTGAGCCCCCGAGAGGAGCCGAGAGAGAGGGGCCGAGAGGAGCCCAGAGGAGCCGAGAGGAGCCGAGAGGAGCCGAGAGGAGCGGAGAGAGAGGGGCCGAGAGGGGCGGAGAGGAGCCAAGAGTACGACTCACTCACTGACAAGCCCCACCGCCTCCTCCCAGCGGCGCTTGCCCGTCCCCGCCCCTCCCCACCAAGACCGGCGCGTGCCCTTAGGTTCCCGCTCTTCCCAAAGCATATGCTGCTCGTCTCGGCGTCGCTCGTGCCGCAGCAGATGACCCTGCCGCACCTCCGCTCCGTCGGTGAGCTTTGAGATCTGGGGAGAGAGGGGGGGGGAGGGAGAGAGATGGGGCAGCAGATGACCCTTCCGCCCAAGCCGTGCCCATGGCGAGCTCATGTCTCCCCATATCTCCCCATATCTCCCGTTGCCTGGCGTGCTGGCGAGGGCTCATATCTCCCCGCATCTCCCCCATATCTCCCCACATCTCCCCATATCTCAGCCGTTGCCTGGCGTGCAGGCGAGCTCATCCGCCCCTCCTCCTTCTGCGCCTACTTCAACTCGTGGTGCGCCTCCCTCCGCCTCGGCCTCGGCCAACCTCCTCCCTCTTCTATGCTGCTCGAGTCGACTCTCTTGTGGCAGGTGCGCCTCCGCCTCGGTCAACCACTTCCACTGCCACGTCATCGACGAGCTGCCGCCGGTTGCCAAGCTGGCCCTGGTCCCCGGCGCGGTGCTGGCGGGCGGCGTGGAGACACTCAGGCCGGACGGCTTTCCGGGGCACTGCTACGTGTACGGATGGTCGCAGGTGGGCGAGGGTGGGGCTCCCCCCCCCCCCCCCCCTCTCAAGGCACCCCTCCCCCCCCTCTCTCGCAGGTGGGGGAGGTTGGGGCCGCAGTCTGGGCCATGCAAAAGGCGAACCAGCCTCACAACCTCCTCTTCTCGCCCAAGCACGTCTACGTCTGGCCAAAGCCGCTGCAGCGGCCCGCGCGGTGCTTGGGCCTGCGGAGGCGGCGAGGCTACTCCAACAGAGTGTCATCTGAGGTGAGATGTTGTCAGGTCGTGGGACCTCTACCCAGAGACAGTGGGCGGGCCGGAGCTGCTCGGTGCCTGCCGCCCCCCCGCCCCCCATCTCCCCCTATCTCCCCCCTACCTCCCCCTACCTCCCACTACCCCCCACTACCTCCCCATACCTCCCTATACCTCCCCATACTTCCCCATATCTCAAACCCTAGGCTCCTTCACTGTCTACCTCCAGCCAGACTTCGACAAGCTCACCGCAGAGCACGCGGCCGAGCTCTTCGCCATCAACACCGCCCCCCTCCCCGCCATCCGCGCGCCGCTGCCCCCGCGCATCCGCTCCGCAGATCCCGCCGCCGACGGCCGCGCTGCGGACGACTCGGACGCGCCCATCTCTGACGCGGGAGGTGCTTCGCCGCCCCTTCGCCGCCAGCGGTACCGGCTGGTCCTCGAGCCGTGACCCGCTCCCTCACCCTCGCGATGATAGGCAGCCGCCGCGCTCTCGCCGCCATCCGCCCGTCCCAGTCGCTCGACTCGGCCGGCTCCGTTCTCTGCGATGTCCTCGTCCGCTGAGCCGCGGGGGCGGTGTCGGCGGCGGCAGCGGTGTCGGCGACGGCGGCGGCGGTGGCGGTGTTTCCCCCGGCGGCGGCTAGTGGCGTGCGATGCTGCTGTACCCTCTCCCCTCCCCGATTCGATGGGGCCCGTTTCTGTCGAACTTGCGACCCCCCCCTCTTTCCGGTTTTGGAGAGCGTTCTCGGGAGAGTTAGTTGACGCGCAGTGTCCGGTGCACTGTCTGTGGAATGTCGTCACGCCCCGCAGCCAGGTCGCGGGGGTTGTGTTTTGTCATACTTTTGTGCATCGGTGCTCGCTCCTTCTCGTCCAATAAAATTACTCTGATTCTATTTCGGTTTCCGCCTCACACCACACACGCAGACGCACAACATGGTTGGGTAAAATAAATAAATAAAAACGACGTACTGTGTGGAGAGGGGTAAAAAGGAACAGGTCCCCCTCCCCGCCCAGTAGTAGTCTAAGACTAAGTTCTGAGCCTCGAGGCTTAGCGGGTCTAAGTGTGTGCCCTGGCACGCTGGGGCCAAGCTACAGAAACAAGCTTTCAGTGCCTACAAGTGTAGGCACTGGATTATCGTGCGCGCGGAGCGCGCTGGTGCTACCCGGACACACGCGCGGAGCGCGCTAGCTGGACACACGCGCGGAGCGCGCTAGCTGGACACACGCGCGGAGCGCGCTAGCTGGACACACGCGCGGAGCGCGCTAGCTAGACACACGCGCGGAGCGCGCTGGCTAGATACCGCGCGGAGCGCGCTGGCACCTATGTGCGCGGAGCGCACCGCGGTACCGGTAGAGTCTAGACACATGAAGACAGTCTGTTGCAGTCAGTTGTGGCCACGCTGCTTCGAAGCTGGCCTGACGTCGTAGCACGCGTCTGGCAGCGCTGTGTCTCTGCCTTCTTCCGCGTCATGACCGCACCCCGCTGCAGCGAAGCTCCAATGCCGCCCCTCTGTGCATGTGACCTGTCGTTGTGGTGAAAGCGGTCGCCCCAGTTCTCGAGCGCACGGTTGATGAAGGGCACGGCGACGGCCGCATGTAGCGCCCAGAGACACGCGCGGAGCGCGCCGCTGTAGAACACGCGCGTTGCCATTTGCTTGTCTGTTTTGTGGCCTCTTCTCTCGTCTGTCGGTGTTTTGTTGGGGTTGGAAGGGGTTGGCGCGGGGGTGGAAGGCCACCTCCAGAAGCAACTACAACGTGTTCGAGTCTCAGCATATTCGTCGTCGGGAAGTGGTTCCGATACGTGAGTCTGGAACACGCTGACGGTAAAGAGGCCGCAACGCATGGCCTTAGCGCATCTCTCAAGGAGATCGCTGCAGCACGGAGCAGCGTCAAGGGAGCTGGCAGTGGTTGGAGCGACTGCGATGTGGAGGCAGAGCCAATGCATGCTCAAGTTAGTTTTGACGCTGCGGACGACAGGATTTGCTGGGGCGGCAGCACGCCGCCTGGCATGTCTCGGCTCGGCGCCGAGGCACACAGCCGCTGCGAGGCAGCGGCGGCAAGGCGCGCGGCGGCGGAGGCACCATCGCCGGGCAGTCTCGGGGTGGCGTGGAGGGCCACTCGAGCTCTGCCGGCGGTGCGGTCCCGTCGCCACGCGCGGGCACGCGACGCGAGGAGGCGTCGCCGAGGGCGTCGACGAGGCGCTCGGTGAGGCGCGGCCGCGGGCCGTGTCCTCTCGGAGCCGCGGAGGCGCCGCTGCAGGCGGCGGCGGCGAGAGCGAGGTCAGCAGGCAGAGCGGCTGTGGCGGTGAGGGCCATGCGGACTCTGCTGCCGGCTCGCTCGCCTCTCTCGAGGACGCGACGGCCGGGGTAGCCGTCGCTGCAGCCGGCGGCAGTGCGCCGCCTGACGAGCCGCGTCCGTGGACAGCGGCGAGCACCCGCTGCTGGGCGCGGTCAGCGGCATGGATGAGGCGACAGCCCTATCGCCGGGCAGTCCCTGGATGGGGTCAACCGCACTGGAGCTTGGCACGCGGCGCAGTCGCAGTGCAAGGACCTACGATGGTGATGGTCATGGCCGTACACGTCGCGCTTCTACTGAGCTATTGGAGGGGCACTCGACACAAGGGTGGGCCCTCGTCTCGAGGTGGAGGTCTCGGCCGATTCACGCGCGAGACGGTGGATCGACCTCGACAGGATTGGCGATGGGATTGTGCTGTCTTCCTCCTCCTCCGCCGTGTGCCGGGGAGTCGATCAGGCAGTTCACCTTAGGGGCTACGGGTATCCCCCCTGGCTATACTTTGAGATTAGGCATCAAAAGTGGTTCACAGTGGAGGCGGTCGACGTCCTACAGGGAGTCGGCCGGCGCGAAGCGACGACCGCCGAGCTTTAGGTCGCCGACATCCAGCCGGAGCTGCGAGTCCACACGGAGGCGTCTAGGGCGAATTCACTGGGACAGTGATTTTGCAGAGACTACCTCATTTGCTGCTCCCCCCATGAAGGGGGGTTTGTGTGTGGGAAGCCAAGGGAGGTTTTTGGCTTCCCACATTTGTGATGCGATTCGACCTGCTTTTGATCGGTCGAAAGCAGGGGTCGAATCGAGAGAGAGAGACGCGAGAGCCCAAGGGCGGCCTGCAGAGCCTCTCTCTCCTGCCATTCTGCTTGTCTGTTTTGTGGCCTCTTCTCTCGTCTGTCGGTGTTTTGTCCCACCCACACCCCCTGACGGCATTGCTCTTCCCGCCCTGGGGTTGTGCTGTCTTCCTCCTCCTCCGCCGTGTGCCGGGGAGTCGATCAGGCAGTTCACTTTGGGGGCTACGGGTATCCCCCCTGCGCTGGCTACTTTGAGTTAGGCATCAAAAGTGGTTCACAGTGGAGGCGGTCGACGTCCTAGATCGCCCACGACCCCCGCGCCCCGCGCCCGCGAGCGCGACCCCCCCACGCGCGCTCGGCCGTGCGCCCCCTGCGCCCTGGCGTCAACGAAAAGCTTGACTCACTGTAATCTGTACAAATGTGAGGACTACTGTCTACTCACCATCGGATGGCAGTCAGTAGCATGCCATAATAGTGATGGCAATGGCAGCCAAACCATATCTCGGTCTGGGGAATCGCAAGGGATAGTCCGGATTCATAGGAGCTCCGAGGCACCCAATCAGCTGAGAGGAGTTGGCGCGCGATGCCACTCGTGCTCGAGGCCACGCTTCATCCGCCCACCCCTCAGGGCGACACTCGCCCTGAGACGGAGGTTGGCGGGGTGGGCCCGCGATCTGGCCGGCCGCCAAAGAGCGGTTTCATGTAGTACTGGTCCAGGATGCGCCAGGCCCCGTGGATTGGGCTGGTGAGAGGGGCGCATAGCTCCCGTTGCGAGCCGTGGTCGGGAAGGGTGAGCTCTGAGCTGCCTAGCAGCGGCACGAGCCCAGTCGACCCTAGGCCCGACCCCGCCTCGTGTGCGGGCGGCGCGGCGCGGCTGAGCTTGAGCGCGCGGATGAGGGGGGCGGTAGCGGGTGCCAGCAGGAGGTTGGTCCCAATGACGATCGAGAGCGTGGTCGTGATCATGATCTGCGCGCGCTGAGCGGGCATCACCTCGTCGTCGGCGTCCGAGCCGACGAGCGTGACTGCGAGCGCGAACGAGATTGGACCGCGGAGGCCGGATCAGCGGTCGCATGCGCTACACGTATGGCAACCAGTGTATGCCTTTGAATATGTTTCGTATTTGACTCGCGGGTGCGGGAGGCCGTCGCTTGCTCCTTTCGAACCTCAGTCGAGGTCAGGCACTTGTAGTGCAGTTGGTAACCTCACATCCAGGGCCTGCTGGAATGTACCATACCAGCAAAAAGTCCGAACCCACGGCAACAGTGTGGCGCTCGCTGGCGGGGCTCGGTGTCAGGCATGGACGTTCCGCCGCCACCAAACGACAACGACGCGCCTCCACCGCCACCGACCGAGGCCCCTCCCATGGACGAGGCCACTGCCGCCGCCTACGCCGCATACTGGGAGGCGTACTACGCCAGCCCCGAGTACCAGGCATACGCGGCGCAGTACGCGGCGGCGGACGCGTGCTGCACTAGCTGCTGCACGAGCGGGCGCGCGCTTGATGCAAGAGTGCGTCCCCTGCGCCGCATAGCCCACGAGGCGAGTTGACCCGCCGGCAAGGCCGCCCTCACGGCTCGCGTCAAAGCCAAGCCGCGCGTCGCGAGCCGCCTTGAGCGCGAGGACGGTCGCCATGCTGGTCCCGCTGACGAGGAGCCCGCCGGCCGAGGCTGGGAACCCCATCATCTCCTTGCACCACGTCAGCACCTGCCGCTCGACGTAGATCCCGACGTGGTCCCGCCCGCCGCAGTTGGCATTCATCGCGGCGCCGACGAGTTCTGGAAGCACACCGCCGGGGCTGCCGCTGCCGTGGACCCAGCCGAAGAACCGCGGGTGTGTGTTGCCGGCTCCGTACGGCAGCAGCGCCAGCAGCCTCTCGCACAGCTCTCCGTGCGCAAGCCCGTCTTCTGGCGGTACCGGCGCTCGCAGAGCCTCCTTTAGGTCGTCGGGCACCGGCGTCCAGACGCGACCCTCCGACGCAGCCTCGAGTTTGTCCAGCGACGCGTCGAGTACTGCATGCGCGCTGGCGCGGAGAGTGGCCCAGTCAGCAGGGTCGAGCGAGGTCGGGCTCAGAGAGCCCATGCCGCCAGCACCGCCAGCATCTGAGCCGGAAGTGGCGCCACCACGGAGCCACGCGAGCGAAGTGAGCATGGTTGCAGAGGAGGACAAAGCGTGCCAAATGCGTGGCTTCGCGAAAGAGAAAAGCACGAGGACAGCGAGGGCGCTGTGGGGCAACTTGGAGCACTTGGAGTGCAGTCATTAACCGCACGCCCAAGGCCGGGGAGCTCAGAAGCGCACTCAGCGGGCCGGACGATTGTTATCGGGTTGCGGGCAAGAGAGCCCTAGGTCGCAGGCCATAACACTGCCAACAATATACCTAAAACAAATAACACGGTCTCAACGGAATCTTGAAAGTTTCGATCGATAATTCAATGGCACGGACACGGAGGAGGGCTTCCCGATCCCGAACCGCGAATGGTCGTTCGCGTTTGCCCCACGAAAGGAGCGCGTTACGCATGAGCGAGCCCGGGCCGCGGAGCCCTGTAGGTGGACGCGACACGGAGTACCTGGATTCTTCAACGAATGGAGCGTCGTCGTTGGCCCGCGCGTCGCCAGTTGTCGTGGCCAGCACCTTGACGGCATCTGTCTGCCCCTGCTACTACCCTCGCGCACGGCATCTGTCTGCCGGATATTCTGCTCGGCTTTTGTGCTGCAACATCAATCCTCCATGCCGAAGGGACGGCCGACATAACTACCGTCCACGTGACGTGTGTGTGTGACGCCATCAGGAGACCAGGGCGAGCAGACATGCCGCAGTATCCGCCGTGTATGTGGATTATCAGCTTGGTTCTCAGGGAGCATGAGCAGACTAGTGGGATCCACCCTCGGAATATCCCAACGGCTCGGAGCAGAGCAAATCTCGAGAGGAGTGGAGGCGAGAGAGCCAGTGGTGCAGCCATTCCAGGGCAAGCAAGATGACTAGCTCCTCATTGGTCGGTCGTCAATCAAGCTCGCTGCTACCTGGGTACCTCAAACACAGCACGTTAGCAGTGGCCTACTCGCGCCCAGCATCAAGCGAATGGCGGAAGCGATCACAGAACGGTCTCTCTCGACCTCCGTTTCGGCGCGCCTGCCTGGCTCCGAAACCGGTCACTCCCCGACAAAAGTGTCGCTTTCCGAAGAAATCTGTCACGTGCGGGAAGCCTGGAAAGTTCGCACTTCGTGTTTCACGCGGCCACTCCGGATGGCACACAGCATGCTGGAGGCCGCCCTCTCCTCAAACGTCCCCAAACCAAGGTCGACCAGTCACGCCACCTCTGCGCCGTAAGTACGACCGACTAACTACCATTCGACCGACTACGAGTGCATAAAGATGTCGAGAGCGCACGGCGCAACGCGCACACGACCCGTCTCCAGGCAACGGCCAACGCGAACCCACCCGCCGCGGAGGGCATCGACCCACTCGCAACCCGGCGGAAAACGCGCAGAAGTACCCGGCGGAACTTTTTGCCGATGAGGGCTGCACCCCTCTGCCCGGCCATGCTGCCGCAGCAAGCGGAGCAGCCGCCATCGGCGTTTTCGGGCGCGCCCGCGAAGATGCCATCGGCCACAAAGCCACCGGCACCGGCACCGGCACCGGCCTCCCTCGCGGATCTCCTGCCGGGAAAGCATGTCGAGGGCGACTGCGGTGTTGACGCGAGCGTGCCGCCCGCCTGGCTCGACCGCGCCAAGTATGCGCGCGGACTGGCAGCGTACCGCGAGTACTCCTTTGGGATTGGGCTAACCTTCCACTTTTCCCTTGTCCTGGGCTTCACCAATAGGGCGCTCGTCCACATCCTCGAAGACTCGGGCGGCTCTGGCACGCCGCCGCAAGCATTAAACCGCTACCTTGACACGGGGAAGCACATCACCTGCTGGCTCACCGGCGACGTTTTCGGGACCAGCGACGCCGCGTACAAGAGTGTCGAGCAGGTGCGAGACATCCACAAGGCTGTCCGCAAGGCGCAGGAGGCCCATGGCAAGACGCTCATCATCAACCAGTATCAGCTCCCAATCACGCAGATGGCGTTCGTGGGCATGGTCGCGCTCGTGTCGGACAAGCTCGGGTTCGCACTCAGCGAGAGCCAGCTTGAGGGCTACGTGTACCTCTGGCGGTGCATTGGCCGCCAGTTAGCCGTCGAAGATAGGTTCAACCTCTGCGGAGGCGGCGCGGAGCGCGTGAGGGCAATCACCAGGGAGGCCAACAAGAGCGTGGTGTTCCCGCAGGCGGCAAAGCCTTGCAAGGCGTTCTACGACATGGCCGACGCTTACATTGGCGGCATGAACCTGCTTTTCTGCGGCCTCCCGCTTCTATCGGTGCGCTCCACCATTGCGGTCTCGTACTACGCCGCTGACAAGTGGGACGAAATGCCGTTCGAGCTCTCGGCGCTCGACTACGTCCGCTATCTTAACTATCGCTTCCTTTTTGTCGCGATGCGGTGGCTGCCCTTCTTCCAGCGCCTTGCGAGCGCCTTGCTCGTGGCGATCTGCCTCGCGCAGCGAGAGTGTCCGTCTGGCCCACCGTCTTCGTGCCCCCTTGGTGGTGCTCCGGCCGGCATCTGCCCCGAGCTCCACCCAGCGGGTGGCTGCCCGGGCGACCCTCGACCGCTGGGCGCCAAGACGCGGGCTCTCAGAGCCATGCTCCTCACCCTCGTGTTGGGCAGCGTGCTGTTGGTCTGGCTCTCCACGGCCTTGCTGCTGCTGATCGCCGTGCTCGCCGCCATGTGGACCGGGCTGGCGCTCTCCGGCCTGTCGGCTGCGGCGCTGCTGGCGTAGGCTGCTGCGCAGGCCAGAGAGGTGCCTCCCCAAACCGGCGTTTAAACCTTCAGCGACGACGGAAACGGTGCGTTCAGGTTTGGGTCGCCCGTGGCCGCGGCAGGAATAATGCGCAGGACGGCGAGGGGGGGGGTTGTGCCGTATTAGAGGCTCCCTGGTGCGGCAGATAGCCGGAGAGGAACCGAGGATGCGCACAGGACGGGCTGGACAGGGGAAGTCGGTAAGTGGGACTGCGTGCTAGCCGGCTCACAGGTCGAGACCGGCGCCTTGGCGCCTTGTGGCTGGTTTTATGCGCTCGCTTTCGTGGTGGCTTTGTGGCTGAGGTGGCTCTGCACACGTCTCATAACCGTAGGCTGTAGTCTCCTAATAGACCAGGCTGTTACCGCTACGATAGACGACTAGGACCTATTTTAAGGAGAGGAGTGTGATGCGCTAGCCGTCGCCCACCCTGGGGAGTCTGCCTCTTCGTATCTCTTTTCGCAGTCTCTCGCCGCTTCTCGCTGCAACCTTCATGCCACCTCGCGGCCGTCCCACTCTCGTCGTTCTCTCCCTTGTCACTTCCTCCTCTGTCGCGTCGTTCTCTTCTGCCTCGTCCTGCGACGCCGCCGCCTGCCGGTCCCTTGTTCTCGCGGCTTCTTTCGCCTTTCGGCGCACACACCACACACACACCAAAAAGTAAGTAGGAAATTTTTTTTGAGAGCGCCTTCGTTGTTAATAGTACAAACCCAATGGTCTCTTGCGAGCGGTCCGTCGTTGCAGTCGCACACACTCACGCGCCACGCCAATTTTTTTTGGTGCCCGACCATCATTTCTGGTGCCCGTGCGGGCGGGTTGACTCGCCGACTGGGACCAAACAAAAGACCGGATGAAGGCGGCGGTACCACTCTTTTTCGGCCACTGGCTCTCTGCGTGGGGCGACCGCATGTGGCAGTTTGCCACCCCCGTCCTCTTCATGGACATCTTCTTAGACACGCTCGCGCCGGCGGCTCTCTACGGAGTTGCAGTCTACACGGTGGCGTATCCGCACGCGCGCGGATCCGACACTAGCCTGAGCTGGCCACCTCGCCTCGCGTGCGTCTCCTGCCGATCCGTCTGCCGAACAATGTCCGGCCGCTCCTGCAGGTGTGTGTGTTCGGTATCCCGGCGGCGGGCGCGTGGATCGACCGGCAGGAGCGGCTGCGTGTGATGCGGATCACCTTCATCGTCAACAACCTCTGCGTCGTCGGCTCCGCCTGCCTGATGCCCGCGCTGAGCAACGCGGTCTTGAGCCAGGACTGGGGCCCGGAGCTCGTCTACGCCGTCTTTGCCGGCGGGTCACATCCCGCAGGGCTGTGCGGCGGCGTGGGGCGTGTTTGTGATGTGTGGGCAGCGTGTTCGGTGTAGGCATCATCCTGCTCGGCTGCGTCGGCGAGGTGATGAATCAGGCGCAGACTCTGGCGCTCGAGCGGGACTGGGTGGCGACGAGATACAGCCGAGATCGAGATACAGCCGAGATACGGCCGAGATACGGCGGAGAGAAAGCCGAGGTGCTTTGGCGCTGCTAATCCCCCCCACGCCTTCGCATCGCACGCCTTCACACCTCTACTCTCACCTCTCGCCTTCTCGCCCCTCTTGCCTGCCGCAGGTTCCGACGATGTGCGACGGCGACTCCGCCCTCCTCACACACCTAAACACGACCATGCGGAGGATCGACCTGTCTGCAAAGATCCTCTCTCCCTCCTTCTCGGACCTTTCCTAGACCTTTCCTGGAACCTTCCTGTAGGATCGACCTGTCTGCAAAGATCCTCGCGCCGACGATGGTTGGCGTGGTGCTGCAGTACGCCGCCCACGACTCCTCCTCTCGCGTGCTCGTCGGCGCGATCCTCCTCGGAGGCTTCCACGCCGTGGCTTGGCCGCTGGAGGTGCTCTGTGCGAACGCCGTCTACGCGGCGCATGAGGGCACGCTCGAGGCGACATGAGCAGAGGCCGAACAAGGAACAACGCCGGTCGGCGGACTGTTCAGAAGCCAGCGTGGGCCATGGGTAGGTGCGCGAGCAGAGGAAGAGTGGCCCAGCGGTGCACGCCTCACACTGGCTCCTCCTCAACCGCGACGGCTGTAGGTGCGCCGGCTCGAGGACGGGACGACGTGTCTCGGAAGTGTCTCGGAGGTGTCTCGGAAGTGTCTCGGAGGTGTCTCGGAAGTGTCTAGGTGCGCGAGCACAGGCACGAGGACGGGACGACGCACGCGCACAAGCACGGTGCCCCCCCCCCCCCCCCCCCGGCCCCCGCCCCTCCCCCTTTGCCACTTCGGCGCAAGCGGAACCGGCACCGGCACCGGAGTCTTGCCTGCCGCCCGCAAGCAGCGCCAGCACGAGTGATTCGCGTTCCATTGAGTGGCTCGTTCGTGAGTCGCCCAGGCATCCGCGAGCACTTCCACCGCGAGCACCTCGACTCGGCGTGCGAACTGCTCCACCACCGACGCTTCTAGGAAGTGTCTAGGACGTGTGCCGGAAGCGTCTAGGCGTGCGAGCAACTCCACCACGACCACGACACCGCGCACCGCGAGGGCATCGCTCACCGGCGCTCCCGGCACCACCAGCCGGGGCAGCAGAGGAGGAGGCGCCGTTCACACCCGGCTGCCTGTGAAGTAGGCACTCTGAGTTCCATCACGAGGCCACGCGAGCAGACTGCGGTGGCGGTGCAGCTGCTCGGCGTTGAATGGCCTCGGAGCGGTCGCACCAATAGGACCACAGGCATACGACGGTGGAGGTGCACCACCCCGGCGAGGGCCTGCAGGAGCTGCCCACCATCCTGCTCTTATACCATACTATACAACACACCACATTACATGATGTTGTGTTGCACTACACCACAGGAGCTGCCCACCATCCTGCTCTTATACCATACTATACAACACACCACATTACATGATGTTGTGTTGCACTACACCACAGGAGCTGCCCACCATCCTGCTCTTATACCATACTATACAACACACCACACATTACATGAACATGATGTTGTGTTGCACTACACCACAGGAGCTGCCCACCATCCTGCTCTCGGCTCGCAAGGACGAGGCGCCAGCTTGGGGCCGCGCCTCATTCACCAACCGCGCACACACTCTTCCCCCGACGAGACGGTGGGCGGGTAGGCGCCAGTCGGGTGCTGCACTGCCTTCGGGAGAGAGGTCGTCGCGGCGATCGATCGCGTCAAGCTCTTCTTCGGCCAGCTCCTAGACACTTCCTAGACACTTCCTAGACACTTCCTAGCCGTCGACCGCGTCAAGCTCTTCTTCGGCCGCCGCACGACTGGCGCAGTGCGTCGCCCATCGCATGGACGGGCTGTTGACTCGTCTGCCGCCCCCCCGTAGGCCACCGCGTTGCCGGCGACCAGCGTCGCCGACTGCTTCCTCTGCATGGCCGCGAACCGGCAAACTAACTGCCGAGTGGCGGTTCATCATCAGGCGCCAGCGTCGCCTATTGCTTCCTCTACATGACTGTCATCGACAACGGCAGCCTGATGACCGCGTACTTGCAGTGGCGCGGCGTGCCGCCCTCGTACCTCGGCGCGTCGCGGGGGGTGGGCGCGGTCTTTGGGATGGGAGGCACTTTCCTCTTCCCTCTCGTGACGGGCTGCTTCGGCGGCCGATTCCGCCAGACGGGCCTGGTCGCGGTCTGGCTCTTTTGGCTGCTGCTGCTGCCGTCGGCGCTCTCGTTCCTGTGGTATGGCGAGAGCCGCATCTCCGACTACTCGGTCATCGGGTGCATGATCATCTCGCGCGTGGGGCTGTGGATGTTCGACCTTGCGGAGACGCAGGTGATGCAGGAGGACGTCGAGCCCCGCCACCGCGCGACGCTCAACTCGGTGCAGACCTCCCTCTTCCAGGCAAGCGACACTTCCGAGACACTTCCGACACACCTCCTAGAGAGCTGTGCAGACGCTCCTTGTTGTCCCGCGCCTCGTCCTCACCCGTACCACTGAACCACTGGCAGCTCACGGTAACAGAGTGCTCTTCCAGGCGCTCTTCGTCCTCATCCAGATCGGCGGCCCTCTGCTTCCAAGCCGCAGCACCCAGTTCCTGTGGACTACCAGTGCCTGGCGTATTGATAGGCGGCCTCTGCTTCCACAAGCCGCAGCAGTTCGAGGCGCTCTCGCCTTGCTACAGCGGCCTCTCTCCCGTGCACGGTGACTCGCGCTTACACCCCCGGCCGAGCAGGCGCTCGTCTATTGGAGTGTCCTTTCTGTGCTCTGCTCGGCCGTCATCTACACCGGCTGGTACTTGCGCGGCGCGGGCGCGCCGTCTCTCAGACCTGTTCACGGCCGTGTTGCTGTGAAGGCGCAGTGCTCACGGGTGCGTGTGTGTGTGAGCAGGCGCCTCGTCCCTCGCGCCGCTCGAGACGCCTCTCGCGCCAAACGCGTGAAGAGGCCGCCGCCTCAAGTGTCTGCACCGGCGCCGGACTCGAAATGGTTTATCGAGGAGGTTTGGGGGAGAAGAAGTGTGGGGTGGGGGTGGGTGGGGATGGTGGTGGTGGGGGGGGGGGGTCCTTGTCACGTCCGGGCTCGGGATCCGCTCTTCGCAACCGCGCACCACCGGCACTCTGGCCGCGGCCGTGACTCCCATGGCTGTGGGCGCGCTCTCCGCGGTGGGATTGGGTGAGCGGGTGAGAGGGACTGCGCCCCTGGCCGCTGCTCACCTCCACAGGCACAGCCTGGAGACAGGAGCGACAGCGAGGTCTAAAGGGTGTGGACCGTGAGCAGGCCTCTCAGTTCACGAGGTGAACCGTGAACCCGGTTCATGAACTAGTTCGCGGTTCACGGTTCGTTCACGGTTCGCAGTTCACGGACTCGGGGCGGGTGCTAGTCGGTTCACGGTTCACGGTTCGGCCCGACCTCGCTGCCCCGCCTGGTTCGTTCACGGTTCGCGGTTCGCCCTTTTCTAAGCCTTTTGTCCTGCCTCGGTTCGAGTTCAGAGTTCACGGTCGGTTCGAGGGTGAACCACTGAACTAGTTCATGAATCAAGCTTACTTTCACACCTCTTACACACCAACACAGTTCGCGAACCCATAAGAAGAAGAAAAACACCCGCGATGCGCGCCGCCAGCCCAGCCCGCCTCGCCGACCTGGCTCGGGGCGACCTGGCCTGGCTGCGCGCCTTCCTCTCCGGGCAGGGGACACACGGCACGTCGCTCGCGGCCCAGCTCGACGCGCGGCACGACACCGAGAGGCAGGACACGCTGCTGACGTGGGCCGTTCGTCACGGGCAGGCCGACGCGGTGCGGCTGCTGCTCGAGGGCGGCGCGAGCGTCGGAGCGACGACTGGCGGCGGCGCTTCCGCGCTGCTCGTCGCGTGCTATCACGGCCACCTTGAGTGCGCCCGGCTGCTCCTCGAGGCTGGCGCGGCGACCGACCAAGCAGACGCTGAAGGCTTCACGCCGCTGTACGTCGCGATCTTGAACGGCCAGCTCGAGATCGCCCGGCTGCTCGTCGAGGCTGGCGCGGCGACTAACCAGGCCAGGGACAACGGCACCACGCCGCTGAGCGCTGCGAGCTTGACTGGCGAGATCGAGTGCGCCCGGCTGCTGCTCGAGGCAGGCGCGGCGGTCAACCAAGCGGATTCTGAAGACCGCACGCCGCTGTACGGTGCGTGCCAGGAGGGCCACCTCGAGATCGCCCGGCTGCTGCGCGACGCTGGCGCTGACAGCAACCAAGCGATGAACAATGGTACCACGCAGCTGTACATCGCGTGCGAGAAGGGCCACCTCGAGTGCGCCCAGCTGCTGCGCGACGCTGGCGCGGCGGTCAACCAAGCAGACGCTGAAGGCTTCTCGCCGCTGTTCATCGCGAGCCAGCATGGCCAGCTCGAGTGCGTCCGGCTGCTCCTCGAGGCGGGCGCGGCGGTCAACCAAGCCAACGCCAGAGGCACCACGCCGCTGTTCATCGCGTGCCAGGAGGGCCGCCTCGAGTGCGCCAAGCTGCTGCGCGACGCTGGGGCTGGCATCAACCAAGCGATGAACAACGGTACCACGCCGCTGTTCATGGCGAGCGAGAGCGGCCAGGTCGAGTGCGTGCAGCTGCTTCTCGAGGCTGGCGCGGCGATCGACCAGGCCGATGATGAAGGCACCACGCCGCTGAGCGTTGCGAGCTTGACTGGCAAGATCGACTGCGCCCGGCTGCTGCTCGAGGCTGGCGCGGTGGTCAACGAAGCGGATTCTGAAGGCCGCACGCCGCTGTACGGTGCGTGCCAGGAGGGCCGCCTCAAGATCGCTCGGCTGCTTCTCGAGGCTGGCGCAGCGATCGACCAGGCGGGCGAGGACGGCGCCAAGCCTGCAACGACGGCACCACGCCGCTGCTCATGGCGAGCCAGGAGGGCCACCTCGAGTGCGTTCGGCTGCTTCTCGAGGCGGGCGTCGCGATGGACCAGGCCCATGAGAATGGCGTCACTCCGCTGTTCGTGGCGTGCCAGAAGGGCCACCTCGAGGTCGCCAAGTTCCTGTCCTCCTACGGCGCCTCCCGCGCCGCTACGCGCTTTGGCACGCCCGAGGCGATTGCAAACAGCCAAGGCCACGCCGACCTCGCCGCCTGGCTGGTCGCCAGCCGCGGCTGGACGCCGCTCCAGCATCTCGAGGCGTGCCCAAGACTAGCGGCCGAAGGCGTGAGCGCGTTGTCTTCACGCCCATTGCCCCTCTTCCGCAGGCGCTCACCGTCGAGCGGGCGCGGGCGCTGCTGCGCTGCGGCGCCGACCCGCTCGCCGGCGCGCCTTCTGCCCTCGAGCGGGCGCGCGTCCTCTGCTCGTGGGGCGAGTCGGATCCGACCGCTGCGGCCGTCGGTTCCACAGTCGAGATCCGCTCTCTCGTCTCGCGGCCCTCGATGAACGGCAAGGTCGGCGTCGTCGTCTCCACCAACGCTTCGACGGCCCGCTGCGGCGTGCGCGTGGCGGGCGAGGCCAAGGCACTCGCACTGAGGCGCGCATGCAATGGTCTCTCCCCGACTCGCCGGATCCTCTCTTTGCCACGCCTCTGCCCTCCCTCAGGCCGGCCAACCTGCAGCCAGCGGCCGAGGCGGTGGAGGTGGGCAGGCTCATCCTCAAGGCGGCGGAGTGGTCGCCGCAGTCGCACGAGCTCTTCCCAACAGCGGCCCGCAAGCGGGCGGTCGAGGTGATGCGGCTGGGCTACCTGATCGCCTGGGACGAGGAGCGCTTCGACAGCCGCGAGGGAGCGGCTCCAGAGCTGGCGGACATCTGGCGCGGCTTTGTGCTGCCAAGGGTGGTGGTGCGATGACTTCTCGTTCCGCACGGGGTTTTCAGTGAGAGGGCCAAACCCCCAGCAGGGGGTCTTGCCGTTGCCCCTGCCTGTGCGGTCGCGTATCTCTTTGAGCGTTGTTCCTTTCTTTTCTCTCGGTGCGCGGATCGCCTCGGCGATATCTCATACCATAGGTCTATGCGCTACCGCTAGCTATGGAAATGGGCGAGGTCAGGAAATGCGAGAAAGTCTAGGGTCTAGGGTCGATAGCCCGCACTGCCGCCGCGGAGTCGGAGTTGACTCCCCGTGTGGCGCGGCGCCGTACGTAGTGCTGCACCCTGCCGTCGGGAAACTCCGTGCGCACCACCCGCTCCGCATCTCGCTCGCCCTAGAAGTATTGCACCCTGCCGTCGGGAAACACCACGCGCACCATCCGCTCCGCACCTTGCTCGCCCTCGAAATATTTCACCCTGCCGTCGGGAAACTCTAAGCGCACCTTCCGCTCCGCACCTCGCTCGCCCTCGAAGTATAGCACCGCGACGCCCGCCGCCGCGCCGTTGGGCAACTCTGCGCGCACCTTGTCCGCTCCGCGCCTCGCTCGCCCTCGTAGTACTGCAGCACACCGTTAGGAAACTCTGCGCGCACAATCCGCTCCGCACCTTGCTCGCCCTCGAGGTGCTGCACGTTGCCGTCGGCTGACTCCACGCGCACCCTCCGCTCAACCTGTGTCACCCGAAATCCATAGTGTCACTCTTATGGTTTTTTTTTGCAAATTTGCGAAGTGCGGCTTCGGTGTGCATTTTTGCGGCTTCGGTGTGATTTTTTGCGGCTTCGGTGTGATTTTTTGCGGCTTCCGTGTGCGTTTTTGCGGCTTCCGTGTGCGCCCGTCGCTTACCTGCCCGCGACGACGCTGCCCGCCTTTGCCGCGCCAGCCGCCGGCTTGCTGCAGCCGCAGCGCGCGGTGCCCGACCACCGGCGCGCCCGCCCGCTCGCCTTCTCGCGCCGCCTCTCCGCGCAAAGCCGCTCACGCCGCGCGTACTCAGCCATCGGCGCGACATCACCCCCGCAGGCACCTCGCGACGGGTCGGCGCACTCGTGTGGCTCAACGCGGACCTACGGAGCGACTCCGCCGCGCGGCTTGGCGCTGCCCATGGCAGCAACAGGTGCCGCCCCACCACCCGCCTGCTGCCTCTGCCTCTCTCAGCCAAGACCGCCAATACACTTACGCCCCCCGCTTCCCCTCTGGCCTGCTCGAGTCTTTGCGCGCGAACCGCTCCTCTACCAAGGACGCGCCACCCACCGACGGCTCCCCCGAGGACACCTCCTCGGGTGATGACTCTTCCGACGACCCTCCGTCTGACGGGGACGACCATCTCGCAACTGCTCTTGCAGAGGAAGCCGCCAACCGTGCCCTCGAGCAGTCCCTCGACAAACTCGCGTCTCAGCCCCGCCGGCCACAGCCGCGCCGCGAGCGGCCTGCTCGAGGGGACCCTGGCCACTGGGAGGGGATCATTGCCCACACGCTCTCGCATTTCCGCCAACGCCATCGCCCTGTCTCAGAGGCCACCGCCTCCGAGCTCCCCGCCGGCCCTTCTCTCGCGCGGCTGCCACCGCCACCGCGCGAGGCGAATGCCTCCCGGCTCCTACCGGCCGCAACCGGCCCGCCCTCCCGCCGCCGCCGCACCCAGATGCTGAAGCCTCTCGGGTGGCCCAGGAGGCCCGCACCGCCTCGCGCTCCCCTGCAGCGCCCCGACCCCTCCCTGACCGCCCCCGAAAGCGAAGCCCGCGCCCTGCGCGGCCACCCAACCGATTCTGACTCCGACCCCAGGGCCTAGGCGGCCCGCCATGAAATCTAGCCGTGTGTGCTGGCGTCCGGGTCCCAGCGGGTTTTCACGTAACAAGTACACACACACACTCACTCACAACGAAGGCGTAATCACAACCGCCTCGTTTGCAGGTGCATGAATGCCTCTCGCCTCGCCCCTCGCCCGGCGCGACGCAGCTGCCCCCGCGCGTGCGCTCTCGCCTCGCCCCACAACCACCACTGCAGCGAGCCCGTGCCCGGCTGCACGCCGTGCTGCGACCGCCGCACGAGCGGCTCCGAGGATCGAGCGCCGCGAATCTGACAATCGGATTGCCGGTCGTAGCGCTGCTCAGCGCGCGGCCGCGGGTCGCATCCATGCCTACTGCGCCCTCGCGACCCCCAAAACAAGCCCGCGCCATGCTCATCCCATTTTATGCTGCTGACGCTCGCCGCCTGCGCCCTCGCAGATCCAAAACAACGTGGGCGAGACGGGCGTGCCGCGGTGTTTTTGGTGCTGGGCCTCAAGTCGTGTGCGCTGCGAGTAGGTGCGGCCCTCTTGAGCCCCCCTCCCTCGTGATCCCCCCTCAAAGACGCTCTCAAAGCCAGAGAGAAGCAGCACTAGTGGCCCGGAACACGATGTGCAGCAATCAGAGCAGGAGATTAGCCGAGATTGCCGAGATTCAGCCAAGATTTCGTCAATTAACATATTAACGGAACTTTGACGAAATTCGTGGGAATGCGCTGGGGCATCATTGCGAGTTGACTAAATTGACGAGACCATCCGAGATTTCGTCAATTAGCATAATTAATTGCCCGAAGTTACCCGAGATCGCTTCCGAGACCGGCATGGCACTTCCGCACCTCTTTGTGGAGGCGCTCTATCGCTCATTCTGATGCGCCACCCGAGATTGCCCGAGATTGTTCTCAAGTCTCGTTAATTAGCATAATAATTAATTACGAAATTTGACCTAATATGGAGCACCCCCCCCCCCCTCCCCCCCGCCCGTGAATATCACTCTTCCGCCATCCACCGCCCCCTATTATAGGTACGATTGAACTCGATCATCAACATGTCAGAGAACAAGACGGAAGTGAAGGCCCGCATGCAAGTTGGACGACAGATTTGGGAGCTACGCTGCCGACAAGGAACTGCGCTTCAAGGCCAAATGGTCTGCGCGCGGCTACACGTTCGTTTAGACTGTGCCTCTTCGGGCGAACACTGCTCGCTTTCTGTCCGTTCAGAAGTAGCGCATGCTTCGGGCACCAGTCAAGGGGGCCCTGTTTCTGTCTCTGACCTGTGGTATGTATCTGCCTCTCACTGCCCATGCCCCTGTCTCTACCCCAGTGGGCCACTGTCTCTGCCTCTTGTCTCTGTCTATGCCAATGTACCATATGCATATGACGTTAGCTGTACGTGCTAGCTAGTACGTGTGTGTGTATGGTGATGTACAGAACGCCCCCCTCGACGACGCCGCCGGTGGCGACCGCGCCGCCGATGTCGGTCGCGCTGGACGGCAGCGCGTCCCCAGAGGCAGAGCCTCACCGTGCGACCTGCGTGCGACGCTCGCCACACCGTCGCTGTCTTCGCCGCTGGTGGGCGGGGCCGCGCCGCCGGCGCCGAGCGTCACCTGCCTCCACGACTCTTCCTGTCTAGGTTGAGCCGGAACTCCTGATCGGGTAGCCGTCGTACGCGACCGCGTGCACGAGCCGGCATTCCGTACAATTTACAAAGAATGTCTCCCTGTCAACCCACCACTAAAAGCTAGTGGAGCCACCTGATGAAGCGCCTGCCGTCGCCCGCCCAAGTGACTCGGACGCGCAGTCGAGGGCACCCCACCGTTCTTGGGGCGCGCTGGGGCCCCCCTTCAGCGATCGCCCCCCACCTCCATCCGCCCCTTTTACTTTGAGGCGCTGTCGCTCCGAGAAAGCAGAAAGCACGTCTCGCAGCTGCCAGAAGGTACTTTTATTTTTCTACACGACAAAACTCGCCGCGAAAGCAAAAAACCAATGCCGGCGAGCCCTCCGCCACCATCACCACCACCGCCCAGCCCTCCGCCCCCAAGCCCGCCCCCGCCATCGCCGCCGCCTCCCTCGCCACCGCCGCCCTCGCCGCCACCCCCGTCACCACCGCCTCCGAGCCCGCCCCCGCCCTCGCCTCCGCCGCCCTCGCCACCACCCCCGTCTCCGCCACCGCCGAGCCCTCCCCCGCCCTCTCCCCCTCCGCCCTCACCGCCGCCGCCCTCGCCGCCGCCGCCCTCGCCGCCGCCACCGAGCCCGCCGCCACCGTCACCCTCGCCCCCGTCGCCGCCACCTCCCTCACCGCCACCGCCCTCCCCAGCCCGCCGCCGCCATCTCCCCCACCGCCCTCACCGCCACGCTGCCAGCGCAGCCGCCGGGCGACGCGACAGCGGCTAGCGGCCGGGAGAGCCTCTCCAGTGCGGGCTGGGGGCGGCGGCGGCACTCTGCGGGTGGCGGGCGAGCTGCTGGCTGGCCGGCGGCGCGTCTCGACTCAAATTATGGGCCGCCTCTCGGGCGTGCGGCCAGGGGCCCGTGTGGCGCGAGGAGAGGGCGGCGCGCTCGGCGCGCTGGCGGCGGTGAAGCCTCTCAGAGTGGGCGCTGGCTGGCCGAGGGCGTCGGGCGGGTGTGGGGCGGCACTCGGGCCGCCGGACGGGCCGTGGTGGCCCGTGTGGCGTTCGTGAGGGACTGTTTGGGCGCCCCGGCAGCCTCCCCGCCTGCGTGACCAGGGCCGGTTTGGCAGCGGTTTGGGCTGTGTGTGGGCTGGTCGCGGTAGGGGATATAGTGCTTGTTTATGGTCCCACTCACTACTCCCGGCCAACGGGGCCTCGCGGGGCGTCCTCGTTTGCAGTAAAAGGCCTCTGCCATCGCTCAGAGTCCCAAACCATGTGATCCTCCGCGCCGGGGCCGCGCCCAAGTAGTCTGCCAGATGCGATGTCGTCGGGGAGGGCGTCGTCGCGGGCGCCAACGTCGTCATGCGAGCCCCTACGGCTGTCCAAGGGCACGTCTGGGTGACCAGGGGCGGGGGTCGAGCCGTGAGTGCTCCGCCGGGGCGAGCTTCTGGGTCCATGGGACCGCTGCCGGACCCATCCGAGAGCCTCTCCGGACACGTTCGCTCGACGGCCTAGTTGGCGGCCGATGTTCGACGACTAAAGCTCCGGACGCCGCGGCCAAAGGTCCGCCCACGGCCCCAGGGCTCGTGGTGGGTGTGGGGTGTGCCTCACGAGGCGGAGAGGCCGCGTGAACTCCCGTAGAAGCTCGCGAAGTGCGGATTTGGAGCGCCGCGCCGGACCTCCGCCGGGGCCCGCCGGGACGCCGTATGGGCCTCGGGGTGCCCGATAAGCTTAGAGGTGCGGTTTTTTTTGCTTGTGTCTATCGGTTCATGTCATGGACCGGCCCTGGGAAGCCTTTGACCGCGCGCGGAGGGTGTTACGGGGCCGTGATGATTTAGCGGGAGGGGAATCGGCCGATTTGCCCAGTGTGCGGTTCACGCCAACAAAAAAGCGCGGCGGGCGGCAACCCGGGGGACGTCGGCCAGCGAGGCGCTTTTTCATTGGCCTCGGCAACACCGAGCCCGGCACGAGCGCGGACGTCTTCGGCCTCGAGCAGCGCGGCGCTGTCGGTCGGGGACGGTGACTTCAGGCCGAGCGACGGCGGCGGCTACGTGGCGTACAAGAAGGCGGACTACGCGCACGCCCTCTCGCGCTCGGACACCGACGTGCAGATGTACCTGTTCGAAACCTTCGGCGGGTGGTGCGACGCGGTCAAGCGGCTGTTCTGCCAGATGAAGGACAAGGTGCGCAACAAGCTCTCGAAGCGGCAGCACGAGGACGAGGCGAGCTGGTCGACGCGGTCATGGCTGTCGCTGCAGGAGGGCCGAGCTGCCCATGTGGCGCAGCAGGAGGATGATTGGGCCGCACGTGCCCTTGGAGTACCTGTGAGCTGTGTGCCGGGCCGACATGCTGCCGGCGGCGAAACGTGCGCGTCCATCGCCGCGGTTCCACTCCGGCCGACTGGTTCGTGCACCGCTTCACAGCTGCTCGTCGGAGCGGTTCACAGCGGAGCCGTTCCCAGAGTGGTGCTCGCAGGACGCCCCTTGGCGCCGGTGTGGTTGGCGGCAATGCTTGCGGCTGACAAAGACCGCCTCATCTTCGACATACGACAAACGGCGCACATGTGAGCTGCCTGCCCCGCCGGCGACGGCGCAGCACGGCGTGCCCCACCCGCTCTTCGTAGGCACTCGCGCTGCGGAAGCAGGAGCTCGAGATGCTCGTCTCCCGCTATAACAACCTGGCAGGGCTCTGTTCGATTCTTCTCCTTTGACGCGCTGATCGAGATTGACTTTGAGGAGGCGGACGAGCTCAGCTCGACCCTCGCAGTGGTCAAGCCCGCCTTCTACCTCTCCGCCACGCTCGCGTTAGGGCCCGGGCCCCCGCTTTTCCCCGGGGGACCCCGGTGCCCCCCTTTTCCCCCCCAAAAAGGGGCGGGTTTTGGGTTTTGGGCCGGCTTCCCCCTTTAAACGGAACTCTAATTCCCTAGGCCAGCAGTGCACTAGCAGCACACCAGTGAGGAGCAGACTCTAAGCAACAATTTCAAAAGCGGAATCTCAAAAAAAGAAAACACAGCGCGCTTCGCGCCTCAAGGACTTCTGCAAGGGAAGGAGTGTCCCGGGTCTACCGACCGATAATGCACCTCGCCGCCTCTCTGGTCCTGCTCGCCTCCTGCCAGGCCGTCGCCTGGTTCGCGCTCTCCCAGCCGCGGTCTCCCATCTTCGCTCTCGTCCGCTGGTACGTCGGTCGCTTTCCGGGAGGCAGGGCGCACGTCCTGCAGCGCGCGCGGGCGGACGGCTCTGGCTCCGTTGCGGCGAGGAGCGAGGAGGATGCGATGTTCGCGCACTGCATGGAGTACCTCATCCTTGCGCATCACGGCTGTGGCGCCGGCATCGCGCTGCTGTCCTTTCTCCTTGGCAGCCCGCGGCTCTTCCTGCTCGGACTCAGCTTTGAGATTGGCGAGGGCGTGCAGCACGCGCTCCAGATCGCCCACGCGCGCGCGTGGCCTGCGCGCGCGACCGCTCCCTTCCACTCCGCCGACGCGATGGCCCTCGCGCCGTACATCCTCCTCCACCACTCGCTCGGCCTGCTCGGCGGCTCTGTGGCGCACTTGTACCTCTCGGACAACGCTGACGTGCAGCTGCTCACGGCGCTGCTCCTCGGCGCGGCGCTGCCCTACTACACCACCCTCCCGCTCGTGCCCCTCCGCCCGAGCGACCGCATCGCCCGCGTCGAGCTGCTCGTGCAGGTCTGCGCCTTCTCCTTCATCGTGTGGACACGGTTCGTCCACTTTCTGCCGCTCGCATGGCGGCTCGCGCCCGCAATCTGCGAGGCGCACGGCCCGATCGCCGGCCGGATTACCGGCACCTCCTTCTGCCTCTTCACCGCCTTCAACGTCGCCGCCCTGCTCCGCGGCGCAAAGAGCCTCGCCGCTAGCTACCGCGCCGCGCAGTCGCCGACGACGGCCCGGCGGCGCGCCTCCGGCCCGCGGACGTCCGCGGTGCGGCGCGCCTCGCACTCGCTCGAGCTGCTCTCCGGCGCGTTTGTCGACCCGCTCTCCTCGCTCCGCCTCTCGCGCGAGCTCGCGCGACCGCTCACCGTCTCCCACTTTTGCGCGCGGCTCAAGCTGCGCAGCGGAGGCTCGCGCGGCTGCCTGCAGGACGCGCTGCGGCCCTCCTCGCCACCGCCGTCGCCTCTGCTCTCCGCGTGCGACGCGAGGAGGCCGAGCCGGCCAGAGGCCCAAATGCCAGCGGCCCAAAAGGCAAAGGCGAGCTGAGGAGGATGCCTCCCGGGCGTGCGGGCAGACTAACGCGTAACGTGAAAGTATCATGGTTTCCTTTGGGGGGGAGGGGGGGGGGGGGGGGTTGCATGGTCCATGTCCATGCATGCGGGGCCGGGGGATCGGGCCGGGGCTGAGTCCACGGTCAGGGTGCCAGCCCCGGGCCCCCACCGTGTAAACGGGCAACCCCTGGGAGCCACACGACGTTAAACACACCATGTAAAAGCTCTCCGCGAGCTCTCTCGAAGTAACAGCTTACTTTTCGAAGTAACTTCGACGCTCAGAAGTTAGTTTTTTTGCGTACCCCTTGCGCCATGAACAACCGCTCGAAACGCTCAAATTTGGGCGTTCCGCGCTTCGCTTCAGCCTTCTAAGCCGGCACCGCGGCGGGCGGATAGATGCGATAAATGCGGCAAGACCACTTGTGCTGCCGGGTGGAACTGGAACTCCGATCACACCGAGAAGGCTTGCCATCGACGCAAGTGCATGCGGGCGGTCGGCCGTCTGCCACCACTCGCCAGCGATAAGGTTGCCGGGTCAACGGATGCAGCCTTGCTGGAGATTGAAGAGGTGCTCGGCATGCGCTACTGTGACCCGAGCCAGATGACTGCGGTGGCGCTGAGGAACCCTGTCGATGAAGACGACGAGCGCTTGGAGTACCTTGTCTCTGGCAGGTTTGGCAGTGGTCCCGACGACCGCGGCTTCCACTCTGTAGCTTGGGTCTTTGATGGCGATCTCCTGGACCATGTAGATGCGGAGGAGGCAAGTCAGCGATGCAAACGTACAAAAATCGGATGGACAAGGAGTTCGCAGCGCTGGCGGATGCGTGCGACGCTGAAATGTAGCCGTCCCGGCACCCCACGTGCATGCGTGTGATATTCGAGGGCTCAACCGGATCGTGAGCGTTGTGAGGCCGCAATCCCGTGCTTAGCGATAGGCAGGCACATCATGTGGGTACTCTGGATCACTCGTATGATAATGTCAGCACGTAGCTACGCTCGCGAGGGCGACCTAAGCACCTAAGCACCCTAAGCGCCCCCCCGCTTAGCGGGCCGCTTAGGATGTGCTTAGGCGGTCTCAGAGGTTGTGGGACCTGGGGCCCGCCGGGCCTGGGGCTGTCGGCTGAGCCACTCTCCGGCTGGTGGCTCTCTACGGAGCGTTTACACAATAGCTCGGCACCCTGACCGTGGACTCAGCCCCGGGGGATCCGGTGGGGGTAAGGGAGGGGCGGGCCAGCTCGAGAGGGCAGTCGGCAGTAAGGTTCTAGGCTAGTAATCTAGGCCCCAGTCGGCTGACTACAGTAGGTGTCCACGTTTGTCAGAAGATTTCAAAAAAATCGAAGATCATGGGGGAAGCACAGGGTCCCCACCTGCGCTGCATCGGTGTGCCGGTCCAGCTCAGATGCTCAACACCGCGCTCGCCAGTGTCGGGCACAGTTCCGCGCCGCTTCTCCTCACCCTGTACGATCAGGCTCTGACCAGCCATCCGCTCGAGACCCGCGTCGCCACAGCTGCCTCGCTCGCATTCGCCGGCGACGCCGTGGCACAATGGTTCGCGATATGGCCCACACGCTCCGTTCTGTGCGATATGGCCCATTGAATCGCTTCCGCTCTGCCACTAGCCCGGCCACTGCGCATGGGCCACACAACCCCTCACTTGCGACTGCAGGAGCCAGTCGCGGTCGTACGATGCTCGGCGCGGTGTCTCTTTTGTGGCTTGCGAGACCTGCTTTCGCGGCATTCTGCAGCCGCCAATATTGCTCTGGGTGGTCGCCACGTTTGCGGGCCGCCTCGCGACCGCAAAGCGCGTGGCGGTCAACCAGTTCGTCGTCTCTCCGCTCGTCTACTTCCCGCTCTTCTGGCTCTGCACCGGAGTCATCCAGGGGCTGTCGCTGGGAGAGACGGTCTCTCGCGCGCGGGCGGGGCTGCCTAGATGCGCATGGGCGTCCCATTCCCCTCGCGCCTCGCGTCCCGCCATTGTGTTCGCGTGCCTGTCTTCACCCCGCGCGGTTCACGCCCGCAGGCGGGCTTCCGGAAGCTCTACTCGCGCTCGCTGCTGTACTGGCTGCCGGTGCAGTGCGTGCAGTTCTCGCTGGTGCCACAGCGGTACAAGGTGGTCTTCCTCTCCGTCGCCGGCCTCCTCTGGACCACGCTCCTCTCCGTGGTCGCCGGCTCGGTCCAGCGGTGGCGTCAGCAGCGCCACCCTGCGGGCGACTAGGCCCGTCCCGGGGAGAGAGTCTGAGCGGTTGCTTTCGGTGTGCACTCTTCTTGCGTTTATTAATCGCGTGCCCCGGCCCTTCATGCAAAGTACACACTCGCACAACAAAAATACACACGCACCCCACTGCACTTGGAGTGCGCAGGCCCATAGGAATATCCTTTTAGCCCATAGCCGTTTCCAATACGTGTGTTACAGTTGTTACGTCGCGCGCCACGCAGTTGAACACCCAGTTGCGAGTTGCAACAAAAACAAAAAAGACACGCCCCAAATGACGTGTGAGTGTTAGAGTTGTTTGGTATTGCTAAAAATCTCTCGCAGGTGCGCAACACGTTGCAAGCACGAACGACGAGAAGCGCCACACCTCGTCCTAGCGCTGTGGTGTGGGGGTACTGTGCGGGTTGTGTCTGGGAGGGAGGGAGTCTGTGGGGTGCAGGTTGCTGGTGCTTGCTTGCACTTTGAATGCCGTGGGGCTCCTTGCCCGTGCGTCCCGGGCGTGGAGTGGTGGAGATGTGGATGTCGCCCCCCCTTGGCCTTGCCCCACCACTTTGTGTGTGTCAGTGGAGACGTTGCGACCGTCGTTCCGTCGGGTGAGAAGGCCACGCTGAGCACCGTGCCTCCGCACTCCTTTGCGTGCGCCAGGGCGCTGTTGACTTTGTGACCGCCTTTTCGTCGCCACCTTCATTCAAGCTGCTCGTAACCGCGCCCGGTGCGCATCGTGCACCTCAGGAAGCACCTGTGGAAGAGTCGGTCCTTTTAGTTTCAGACGGTTTTATGAAATGAACTCTTTCAGACGGTCCCAACATCTTCCCGACCTTTCGTCGTAAGAGGAAGCGTGTGTACGGCACAAGAACACAACGCACGCACCCCTCACGAGCGGCGTGTCAAGAGTAGACTCGATTCGACTCCACCTTCAGTTCAATTGAAAATTGCGAATAAGCGAATATCTCATCAACCTCGAGACCTCGAGAGCTGTGTGCGGCGGGGAGTCTCCGGCGTACTTGTGCCCCCCGCCATGAACGAGGAGGAGGCGAAGCGGCTCCTCACCGCGTGCCTGCCGCGCTTCTCGCAGGCTGGCTTGCCGCCGATCGCCGCGACCGAGATCGTCGGCGTGGCAGCGACGGCGATTGCTTCGCTCTGGGCCGGGATGGGCAGTGTGTATCGGCTCAGCGCCAAGACGAAGCGCGGCGACGTGTCGATCGTCGCCAAGCGAGTCGAGCTTCCGCAACGTTGCAGCAGCATCGGCGACCAGCGCAAGAAGGACTCGTACGATGTGGAGGCGGCGTTCTACAGCCGAGGTCACGCGGAGAGGCTCCTCTCCGCCGGCGCAATCGTGCCGACGCCGCTGCACGTAGAGACGTCGCGCGGCGAGAACGTCACCATCTGCATGACGCGGCTCGAGGGACGCAGCAGCCACCGAGGCGACTCGGCCGCCTTTGTCTCGTGGCTCGCCAAGTTGCACGCGGCGTACTGGGGAAGCGAGCGGGCGGACGCCGCCGTCGAGAGCGGGCTGCAAGCGCAAGGCACATACTGGCACCTCGACACTCGGCCGGAGGAGCACGCGCGGATGGGCAGCGGCGGCTGGATCGGGCGTTTGAAGCTCGCTGCGCGAGCGATCGACCTTCGTCTCAAGGCAGACCCGATGCAGGCGGTCTGCCACGGCGACGCAAAGGGCGCGAACATACTGTACTGCACGGGCGAGGGCGGCGAGGCGGTGCCGCTGGTCTACGACTTCCAGTACTGCGGCAAGGGCTGCGTCGCCAAGGACCTCGCCTACTTCTTCAACGTGGAGGCGTCCGCCTCAGAGGAGCAGGCGCTGCTGCGAAGGTACCATGCCGAGCTGAGCGGGCTGCTGCGTGCGCAGGGCGACTCGCCGCCGAGCCTAGAGGCGCTGCAGGAGGCGCACGAGATCGCGCTCGCCGACTGGCGCCGCTTCTCGGAGGTGGGGCTCGGCGGGTGGGGAGACGGGCGCGCGACGCGGAGGGTGGTGGCGCTGCTAGACCGGCTCGACGGAGGGAAGGCGCTGGCGAGCGAGGAGGCGTACGTGGAGGCGATGCGCCGAGAGTTTCCGGTGGAGGGCTGAGCCTTGAGGCACGGCTCTGCGCGACCTCGGAGCGGGGCCTGATTCCGCCATCGGAAGGTTTGGGAGAGGCACTCTTCGCACTCTCAGAGGTTCCTCCTTTCCGCTCCCCCCCCCCCGCAAGGCGCGAGACACTCTCGCACGGTCTCCCAAAAGGAAAATAAAGAGCCTGCACCCCTGTGTGTGTCGGACGAGACCCGGCCGCGACGGCGGACGGGCCGCCTCGTGGGCTGGCACGGCCTGTTTAGCCGCGCTGCTTCGCTCCCGCGCGCGCTACTCGCTCGTGGGGCCGCGCCATGCGCTGCCAAGTGCCATCCCCAAGCTCCGAAGCTGCTGCACGAGCCCGGACGCGGAGCCCCTTCGGAGACTGACGCTGAGCGCGTCGGCACCGGCGGCGCAGCGGCGGAAGTATCGCACATTCGCACTGCATGCAGTGGAGGTCTGTGGCACCTCACAGACAGATGATGACGACACTCACACTGAGCGACACACAGACACAAACAGGCTCACAAGACACACAGCCAGCCAGTGGAGGTCTGTGGCGCCCGACTAGACCCCTACACGGCAAGGAGCCCGAACCCAGCCTGTCCCAACACTGGGTTCCGGCTCCTACCCAGATAGGGGGTCTGTTTACCACGGTTAGACCCTATGCAATAGGTCTAGGTAGGTCCGGTTTTGACCGCCCCAGAGGGCCCCGCAATAGGTAGGTAGGTGGCGGTGGTGTGTGTGGGGGGGGGGGGGTAAAAAAACCGCTTCTCTTGCGCGGGAGAGGCGCGTTTAGCCGCGAACGGGGATGCCAGGCGAGTCGCCTGCGGCTGGGACGCCAGCCGAGACGGGTGCGGCGGCGGCGCCCGCGGTGGCGGCGCCCGGGACGGCACCGCGGTACAAGCCGGCGCGCGGCGGGCGCTGGGAGCCTATTCACAGAGGGTTTGGGGTATTTTTTCGCTTCGCTGCCCGGCTGGTAGGTAGGTAGGTGGGGCACGGAGCCCTGGCGATTGGCGGCGCCGGCCCCATGAACGAGAGTCTTGAGGCGCCGAGTAAGGTAGCGCGGCTTAGCTCGTTCGAATGCTGGGGCAAGATCCTCGCCGGCAGGCCCTGCCGCTGCGGCGACTACAACTCCCGTGAGCTGCCCCACCATACCAGCGGCTCCGTCACAGCGCCACCAGCACGCGAGCGTTGCACGCCAGCCGCGCGAGCCGAGCCCCCTCCCCCTCCCCCTCCCAGGCGGCCAGAGCCCCTTCTATTCGCGCTTTTGCGCGGTGAGCTGTGCAAATTCCTGGCCGCATGTAGCGTTTGAGTCCCCACAAAGACGCACGCCCACAGCACACACGCTCAAGCGCAGCGCGCGCAGGGGCCACCCATGTGTTTGCAAGCGCACTTAGATGCGCATGCGTCGGCCCGTGGCGCATCAGTCTCGCTCAGCGCCTGCCCTGCTCCCGCCAGGCGTGTCACCACCACGGCATACTGGTTCCAGCTGACCGCGTCCGCATGCTTTCGACTCCGCCCAGCCTGGCCAACAGCGCCTCCAATGGCGTCTGGAGCGAGCACCGCGTGCTTCCGCGCTACCGCATCGTGAACCAGACCAAGCGGTGCCGAGGGAGCCCGTCATCATCTTTGAGGCGCCGCTGAGCGGCAACCTGCAAAAGAGCGACGACCCCGCCGTGTTCAACGTGGCAACGTCGGCGCCACTCCCCGCAGAGTGGTGCGCCACCTGCCCCCACTCTGGGGCCGCGGTCATCAGCTTCATCCTCTCCCACTCCTCGCTGGTCCCCATGCATGCCACCGGGCTGACCAGCACGCGGGACCTCCCCATGACTCGCACGGATCCTGCCGTCGCGCGGATGCCCCCCCCGGACATGCCGGCGGAGCCGCATACGGCCCCCTTGCACGTAGCGCAGGGCGTGCCCCAGCTCCAACCGGTCTTGCAGCAGCACATGCTGCCCCTGCAGCAGCACGCGTTGGGTGGGGCCTTGCCGGTGCAGGCCCGCGAGCCGCCGCTCCTCGGCGTGCACCCTGGCCACTATGAGGTCCTCCGTCAGTCCGCCCTGCTACAGCACCGCGTGATCCCCTTCCCAAGCGGGCTGCCGGGCTACGAGGCGCAGGCTATCCTCGGGAGGCATCCCCAGCACCTGCTGCAGCAGCCCGAGGCGGTGCAGACGGTCGCGTCCCCGCTGCACTACGCGCCGCACGCAAGCGCCTTCCACTCGGTGCAGCACCGCAATAGGTAGGTAGGTAGGGCGTTTTGGTGCGAGTCATGGTACAGACCCCCTATCTGGTAGGTAGGTAGGTAGAAAGGTGAAGAACAGCCAGGCTCGGACTGGACACCAACGCGGTATGGGTGGACGCTAGACAGATGATGACGACACGCACGAGCGACACACAGACAGGAGCCGGAACCCTGCCACCACGCCACCACGCCGCAAACGGCCCGCAAACCCCAAATTCCACACCGACCGTCCGAGACTAATGCGTCCGGAGCTGCTCTCCAACGCTCGGCTCTGGGCCACGGCTAGCACCACCACCCGTCCTGCTGAGCAAGCCACCGTCCCAGCCACCGCCGGGAGCGAATCTGGCCTCCGGCTCGCCCGCTTTGCCGGCAGCGCTTTCGCGGCGCTCGGCTCTACATCGCAGGCAAAGGCGGCTGCCAAGACCGGACGGCTCGCTGTCAACGGGCAACTTGCGGAGCCCGCTCGTCTGCTCGTGGCTGGCGACGAGGTGACTCTCTCGGGCGGTCGGGCACTGCCCTCAGCGCTGCAAGACCCGAAACAGGTTGCGGCGCGTGCGGCGGCGCTCGAGCACGACGGCTTCCGCATCTGGTTTGAGGACGACGAGCTGGCTGTGGTGCACAAGCCAGCGGGCGTGCACTCGAAGCCGTACCGAGGCGCGAGACACCTCGAGGCGGCGCTGCCGGCGCTGCTCGGCCCTCCGTGCCGCTCGACCGTTGACGCCCTCCCCGCGCCGTCTGCTGTCCACCGGCTCGACTGCCGCGTCTGCGGGCTGATTCTGGTGGCGAAGACGCGGGGCGCCGCCGCCTTCCTCGCGGGGGAGCTGGCTGCGCGCAGAGTCACGAAGAGGTACCGTGCTCTGCTGGCCGGAGGGATCGGAGGCGGCGGCGACCCTTTCGAGGTGAGAGAGGCCGTGGGCGGGAGGCCGTCTCTCTCCATCTTCAAAAGCATCGAGGCGACGCCGCACTTGCAGCTCGGCCAACTCACCACAGCCGACCTCGAGCCGCGCACTGGCCGCCGCCACCAGCTGAGGTTGCACGCCGCCGCCCTCGGCGCCCCGATCCTGGGCGACGACTTGTACGGTGCTCCGTCGGGAGGCGGGGCCGGCGCCTCCCTCTACTTGCAGTCCACCGAGGTCCGCGTCGCCCACCCGTCCGGAGGCAGGGCAGCGGCGGTGCACGTGACAGCACCCGAGGCGGCGCGGTTCGCGAGGCGGCGGGAGCGGGCTCGCATGGGCTGGGAGTGGGAGAGGCGGCACGGCGGCCGCCGCGCCGGCGACATTCGGATGGTTCAGTGGGGGGGGCGGAGGGAGGGCGGCGCGAGATCGCACGAGATCGGCCGAGGTGCTGCGAGATCGGCCGCCGTTGCGATGGCGGCGGCGGGCGGGGGGCGGAGGGGGGGCGAGGGGAGCGAGGCCAGGGCGGCGCTGGAGGGGCGAGGGCTAACGCCGCGAGAGGCCGCCCGCTGGCGACGCGAGAAGGCGACCATTCCGTGTGTTCACAGCTCCGGCTATGAGTAGGCCCGTCTCTCGACCCCTCCGCCGCCCGGGGGGTGTGAACAGCGTCTCTTCACACCTCCGGCCGTGAGTAGGCCGCCGCTGTCGACGCGAGGCACCAGAGGCGACACGGCCACCCTTTGGGCACGGCTGAGGTGGCCGAGGCACTGACGGGCTTAGGAGGGCTGTCGCTGCTTCCGGGACATGCCCCCGACATGTTCCCTCCCGCGGCCTTTAGGCGCTGGCGGCGCTGGACTTGCTGTCGCTGCTGCCGGGGCAGGCGCTGCAGTTGCTGCGCACCGCCCGCATCGCAGATCTCCCCGCCGCCTGCGCGAGAGCGCTGGAGAGGCCCCGCCGCTGGTGCTCGTACAAGAAGGCGCTGTGTGACTGCGCGGCCCTCCCGCCCCCCTCCGAGCCCGCGCCGCCGCCTCGCCTGCTCTCGCTCGACTGCGAGTTCAAGCCGCTTCGGGCGGCGGCGGTCGACGAGCAGCTGCGGGTGCGACTCGACTGCGTCGTCCTCGACGCGTCTAGCTTCCCGATGCTGCCTGGCGTGCTTGCGTGCGACCGGCCCCTCCTCGAGAAGGCGATGCCCGCCGAGGTCTGCCGCGAGATCGCCGAGATGTGGTCGAGAAGCTGATTGCCGCCGAGGCAGTCTTACGCCTAAGCCTCACCCCCGCCATGTCTCCGCCTGCCGAGGCGCGCGCCCGCCTCCTGGCGCTACTGGGCAGGGCACCACTGCCGGGCAGGGCTCCACCCTCCCCCGCCTCGCCCGCGGGTGTGGCGTACACCGGCACCGCCTCCCCTGCCGCCGGCGCCTCTGGCACCGCGACGCTGCTCGGCGACTCCTAGCCGAGAGACCGCCGAGAGATCGGAGACAGAGATCTAGCCGAGATCTAGCGGAGATTGGGCGCTGCCCGGCGGGACCCCCTCCGCCAGACGGTGAGTGCGCCGGTGCCGCTGCCGCCCACGCGCCGTCGCTGTGAATAGGCCACTCGCCGAGGCATGACTGCGACGCTCTCGGCGCGGCCACGGACGCCCTCGCGCGCGGGCTTGTCCACGACATCCACGACACGTCCACGGCATGTCCCGTAGGCTTGTCCGCAGACGCCCTCGGCGCCGTCGACATTGCGGTGCAGCGGCCGCCGCCGACGGCGGGCACTGGCGGAGGGGAGGGCGGAGGGGAGGGCGGAGGGGAGGGCGGAGGGGAGGGCGGAGGGGAGGGCGGAGGGGAGGGCGGAGGGGAGGGTGGCACGCTCGGCGGCAAGGGCGAGAGGAGCCGCGGCCGCCGCAAGGCCAGGAGGCGGGGCCGGCGTTTCGGCGCGGCGGTGTCCCTCAGCGACATGGCGCGCGAGCGGCTTGGGGAGGAGATGCGGGGTGGCGTCGGCCGCCACTGCGCCATCCAGGACGCAGAGGTTGCGATGCGGCTGCACTTGCTGGTCAGCGCAGAGTAAGGTAAGGTCAGGTTACTCTGCACTCGCACCTGCAGCATTTGGAGTGTGGTAGTCGGAGCGAGGGTGGCCCGTCTACGGGACCTTGCGGCCTGCCGGCGATCATCCGTCCGGCGAGAAGGAGAACGCGCGACAAAGTGCGGTTTGCCGCGCGGGCTTACGTGGTGAGAGGACAGGCAACGGTTGTGAGATCGCGGTCGCTGGGTGGGCTCTTACCTCACCACACATCTCCCACATCTCTCGCCGCCGAGTTCCATGCGTGGCGCACTCTTGTCTTTTAGGAGTCAAGTGGACATTTACACACACAACGGGTGGCACCGCTCATGGCAGAGCGCCGCGAGAACGGTTGCAGCATCTGTGCACAATAGGAGATCCGGACCGGCGGCTGCCTGCTTTTCGCGCCGCTGCTGCACACGGCGCTTGCTGTCGTCGGCGGGGTACTGCCGCCCACTGCGATCGCGCTGCTTCTCCCGCTGCCGCTCCAGTGCCTTCCGCCGCAGCTTCATCTGTTCCTCGCGTGCAGCCTTCTCCTCCTGCCATCGCTGCAGATCCGCATGGAACGCAACGCCATCCGTGTACACGACGCCCACGTCGCGCTCCATCGGTTCTTTTCTCAGCGGCGGTGGCAGCGGCGGTACGACCTCACTCGTTGCGTCCGTTACGACCTCACTCGTCGGCGGTACGACCTCACTCGTTGCAGCCGCAGCCGCAGCTGGATGCATCTAAGAGGATGCAGCCGCAGCTGGGACACAAGAGGATGCAAGGCTCTAGGCACGCGCCGCCGAAAACGTTTGAATTGTTTTCTTTTGGAGTTTCCTCCCTCCACCCCCCTCGCCTCCCCGCCGCCTTCACCTCCCTCCCCGCCGACCCGCCCCGAGTCGCCTCACAGCCAGCACGGTGGCTGGCCGACGCCCAGAGAGCCGTGCTCCCCTCGGCCGGGCGGCGCGGCCGGCGGTACCGCGCGCGGCGGGGCGAGCGGCGAGCCCCTCCTCTACCGCATTCCGAGAAGGGAGGGCGTGGTCGAGTACATGGACGCGACGAGAACGCAGGAACTCGCGGCCGAGGAGGAGGCCGAGCGGCAGCGCAAACGGGCGCGAGAGAAGGAGGCATGGCGCGCGCAGCGCGAGCGCAGCGCCAAGAAGACGGCAGCGCTGCAGGGGCACGACGAGGCATGGGGACGCGCGAGGGTGGCCCATGTCGGGCGCGCGCACTCGGTGGCTGGCGCGCTCGACGCGCACATCGAGCGGCACTGGCGGCCAAGCGGCGGCGCGTTTGCCTACTACCCCGAGGGCCTCCTCCGCATTCCCGAGCGCTTCGTGGCGGTCCACGTGAGCCGGGTGATTCCCCTCCTAGTCCACTGCGTCGAGGCGGAGTTCGACTACGCTTATGCCACGACCGCTTTCTGCGACGAGTTCCTCGGCGAGGGGAGGTACGCCCGGCGGGTCGCCCAGCTGCCAGCGGCGCCGCCGTCGCTGCCGCTGCTCGAACGCCTCAGCAGCGCGGTGGAAGACATGGAGCGCCACCTGCCGCGAGGCCCTCGGCTCGCCAGATACGCGACGGACGAGGAAGGCCGACGGGTGGGGCGCGCCGGGGGGCCGTCCGGCGCGACCTACCCCAGGTTCGAGAAGACGTTCAAGGCCTTCGACGAGGCGCTGTGCGCGGCGGCGACGCATCTCTACAAAGCGGGCGTGACTGATCCCTTCGAGAACCTGGAGTTCTGGCGCGTCATCAAGACTGGCGCGCTGCGGGTCGTCCTCGAGAAGCGCGCGACGGCGGAGGGGGGGTGGGAGCTCTCGGGCGCCAGGCGCAAATCGGGCCCGGATGCGTTCCGTTCGGGGAACAGGGTCATGCGCCGCCAGGAGCCCAGCTCGCCTCCAACCAGGCACTCTCACCACTGCACAGCCGCCCACGAGCGCCCGCAGCTGCACTGCTCAACGCTCAAGCTCAGGAGCCTCCCCTTGTTGTCGCAGCTTTGTGCAGTGCAGCGTGCGAGCAGCGCAGCGCCAGGCAGACCCGTGGCACGCCCGGGCGGCTGTGGGACGGAGGCCCGCCGAGCGAGTGCGAGCCGCATCGGCGGCCATGTCTCCCGCAGCCGCGAGCGAGCGGTGCAGAGAGGCAGCGTCGCGCATGCTTTTCCGTAACGGTTCCATTCGCCCACGCGTTCCGCGCATTTGCTCTCTCAAATTCTTATCTCTAAAATTCTTATCTGGTCGGAGCCTGTGATGTGGAGAGCGTTGCCTTGCGCCTGCCGGAAACTAAAGGAATGCTGAATGAATCCCAGCTCTGTCCCACCGCCACCTTCTACATGTACGACCAGCCCGAGCTCGACCACGGCTGGATGAAGACCTGCGAAGGCTTCGCAGAGCTGGCGGACTCCGTCGCAAGCGAGAAGCTTGCTGAGGTTGGGCTCCGCTCGCAGCTCCTTCACCACCCGCTGCGCGTGCGCAATCCGGCCAAGGCCGCCATATTTTACCTCCCCATCTTCGAGGCGACCAGCTCACTGCTCGGAGAGCAACCGGCGGGACGGCTGCGAAACTGCAGCAAAGCCGTTCCGTCTGCCCTTCTCCGGTCGCACCACTCACGGATGGCAGCAGCAGCGGCCGTGTTGGCCGTATCGCCACATTGGCAGCGGTGCCGTGGCTGCGACCATGTCTTTCTGAGCTCGCACACGGATTCACCAGGTGCGGTGCGGCATGAAAAGCCTGATTACAGGCTAATAGTATAAACAGTGTGAGCCTGTCAGTACACGCCCCTATGCCCCCCCAGCCGTCCTAAGCCCATGGCCATCACCTCAGGCACCCGGATAGCCGGCCGGATGCATCCGCTCTCCGGGCTGCTCCGCTGCGCGACCGCAGGGCGGTACAAGGCTCGGGCGGGCGGCGGTTGCCGGACGACAGTGCCCTACGGCGTGAACCCGCATGCTTTGCAGGCTCACGAGTCCGAGCCGAACGCTCCTCGACCGCTGCTCGTCTCCTTCTCCGGATCCCTCGACGTGTGCTGCTCAGGGGCGCGGGTCCGCTGCGCCGTTGGCGATGTGCTCCTCTCCTCTCTGTTCGCGGACGACGTCGAGATCATGCCGAGCTTGCACCCCGGAACACGCAGCATCCATAACGCGTCGTGCCTTGCACGCACACTGGCCAAGCTCGAGGCGGCGACGAATGCATCCTACGCGGCGCACGCGCGTGGCGTATGGGCCGCGCATTCGAGCCCTTGGGAGGGAGGGACCTCTCAGGCCGTCATGATGAGCCAGCGCGCAGGCAACGCGTTGGCACGGTCGGTCTTCTGCCTGGTCCCCGCGGGAGACACCTTCATCTCCTCGCGCATCTACTCGGCGATCGGCGCGGGATGCCTTCCCGTCCTGCTCGGGAGCCACATCTGGGACACCGGAGTGCTTGCCTTCTCTTCGCGCATCGACTACCGCGCCTTTGCCGTCGCTGTGGACGATCACGCCTATCTCAGATCGCCGCACGGGCTGGTGCCGAAGCTCCGCGCAATGCCCCGCGACGAAGTGCTGCGCAGGCAAAGGGCGCTCGCTGCGGCGCGCTCGCACCTCATCTTTGAGGCGGCGGGCGGCGCGGCAGCGGCGGCCCACTTTCTTGAGGATGCGCTGCGCTCGTGTTTCCCGCGCATGGCAGAGTGCGGAGCGCGCCAGGCCGCGCCCGGCGCAAACGCGACAGCGCAGTGGCGCCACCTTGCGCGCCACTGCGGCTCCAGCAGCAGCGCCGACCCGTCGCAAGGCTCCAATCCACTGCAGGCGAGTCGGCTACTTCCGACGACGTCGCTCCGCCCCCTGCGTCTGGTGTCGTCGCACAAGCCGAACTGGGATGCGCTGCCAGCGTGCGTTGCGCAGAACCTCAACAACTGGTCGGGGCCCCCCCGCCCGGGCCCGGATGCAGGAGCCTGCCGCGGAGCTGACGTACTTTGACGACGATCAGGCTCGCGCATGGATCGACGCCCACACCATGTCTGGCGACGCGTACAGGAATCTGACCATCGGAGCCGCGGCGGCGGACTTCTTCCGCCTCGAGTATCTGCTCGAGACAGGCGGGACGTGGATAGATCCTGACCTCCCGGCCGTACGGTTGCCCTCGCCGGTGACCGACGACCACCCATCCCACTTGTATCTCTTCGACACTGGGTTTGGAGACTTCAGCATGACGGTGATGAGCGGGGGTCGCGGCCACCCGCTCCTCCGGCAGGCTCGAGACGACATACTTCACAACGTGATCTCGCAGTCGCACCGGCGAGGGAAGGTGAGCCGAGGGTTGCCCCTAATTGCCCCAACACCTTGTGTGTTTGGAGAAACTACCTCACCGTGCCCACTCCTTTAGGTGACCTCTCTCACCGGGCCCACCAACCTCAAGGCCGCTTTCAAAAAGCTCTACAACGTCACGTCGCGACGGCTGTCCAAGGGCATGCACTTTGCGGGCACGCCGCACGCCCTGTCTTACTTGCGGACGGCGCACACGGGATACGGGGCGGGCACCAAGCTGCCCTGCTACAATGCCGCGCTGGCCAAGATGGGCTCGGCCTACTACAAGAGGTGGGGCTCGAACGCGCACTTCTAGAGTGACCGATCGCGCGCGGGAAAGGATGTTGATTGAGGCTGCGCAGCTGCGGGGGCCTTCTCAAGTTTGTTGTTTAATGTGTTTAGTGCCCGCATATTTCGGTGGTACGATACGGAGTGTGCGACGCACGTACAATGGTAGTGCTTGAAACGCAAACGGACACTGTTCGAGCTAGAGCTCGTGCAGCTCCTGTCGCAGCGAGCTCGTTCCAAAACCGCCAACCGACATACGGCTCTAACTTGTCACAATCGGCTTTACGATTACGTCCGGCGGGGGCCCGAACGGCGTGATACGAAAAGGCAGGGCGAAGCAAATGGAGAGAGAGTACCGAGAAGGCCGTGGTGGAGGGGAGGGACAGGAGGGCGACACGAGGGCGAGGAGGACGAGCGGCCCGCACAGACCGCGACTTCCGCGAGCAGACAGCGCCTGCTGGCCATTTCGAGACATTCGCGAAGAACGCTAGCGACATGGGAGAGCTTCGTGAAGGGTGGATTGAAAAACATTCGAACAAAGTAAGAAGAGGCGACGGGAGGAACCGGCAGAGTATGCAGTGACGACACGTGACCCCCCCCCCCCCCCAACACACACACACCACGCTCACCCTACACCCACGCGCGCACTGGGCCTTGCACTTTTAATGCCGTGGGGCTCCTGTCATCTAGAGACGTGGAGAGACGCGAGGGTCGCCCCCCTTGCCCCACCACCTCGTGTGTGTGGAGAAGTTTACCTTACCTTACCTTACCTAGGCCTTGTGGCCCTTGCACTTTGAATGCCCGGTGGGGCTCCCCCCCCCTGCCTGTCAGGGTGCGTGTGCGTAGCTTGCGAGGGTTGCCCCCCTTGCCCCACCACTTTGTGTGGGTGTGGGGAGAAATGTACCTCACCTTACCTTACCTTACCTCTATTTCGCCAAATGCGAGAGTTTTCTTCGCGCCTTGGAGAGTGACGGTCACGTAGCGGTGCCTTGAGGGGGGGAGGGAGGGGGGGAAAGGGGGGGGGGGGAACCTTAGCCAGGGGGCCAGTCGGTCGCGAGGCGTGGCGGCGGGAGGGGGTGGCAGGCGTGCTTGGACTTTGCAGCGGCGCACGGCGTCGTGACCGGCCCCTTCTTGATTTTTGACCAGGCAAATGGTCCGCCGCACTTCACTGCCATGTCGCTGGCCGAGATAACGATGCGATATTTGTTAGGTCTCGTTCTTGAGAGGTTGCCGGCGCAGGGAGCGCGCCGGCGAAGCTGTAGTCGAGGAGCCTCTCCGCCTCAGCTTACTCACTCTTCTTTGCCGGCCGGCCGCGCGTGGGGCGTGCGTGCGCTTGGTTGGTTGGGACAAAAGGGGGGGATGAATGAAGACAGGAAGGACCACGAAGCTCGAAGGGATTACAAAGCAAAGGAAACCGGATCCAGCAGGGAGTGAAGGCGGCGCTCGAGCCCTCGGACGGAGGCTAAGCCTAAGGGCCTGCAGGTCACGTTTCAGGTGGGATCGCTCCTAACAGGCAACGGGGGCCAATCGAAAACGGAGGCACACGCACGGGGGTGACCCGTCCTGCCTTGCCATCTCCGTGCCCACGAGCAATGTACCGCAAGCGCCGCAAGCAACCGATGGTGATGTTGGCGCCGGGCTGCTGACCAAAAAGGGGCGTGCCTGGTCATGTGTCTGGTGGTGGCATACAGGGTGGTTGCACACCTGGGACAGAATCGTGACAGAACCGACATACGGCTCTACGGCTTTAACTTGTCACAATCGGCTTTACGTACGCACGCACGTCGGTCGCGTGCTCTCGCTGGAGGACCTGCTGCTGCTCCTGTGCGAATACGCCCAAGAAGAAACAGTACTGAGTACACAGTGCGGCTGTGACGACTGACGTGGCAACCGCAAGCTGCTGGCGGTACAACCGGACGCGCGACCATCGGACGCACGATATTGAACGAGGGAACCGTAAGACTTGGCAGGGGGTTGGGGCCGCCGTCACTGCGGCAGCAAGATGCGAGTGCTCTCCCCACGGGGGGAGAGGGCGGCGGCGGCCGACAGCCGGCGCGCAGTGCCGGCGCGGGTGAGGGAGGGCCTTCTCTGCAGCGTCCTCGCGCGGGGCGAGCGAAGGGTGGGCTCCGTGTCGACGCCTAGTGGACGATGAGTAGCAGTGAGCAGCAAGCGCCGCCTCCCCACGAGGGGAGGGCTCCCGTCTCGATGCCTCCCTTGCGCTGCCCGACGGCCGGGCAGACGTACTCGTCCACCGAGTTGAGGTCGAGCGCCTGTTCACAGCGGGAGGCGTGAAGAGGCGCCCAGTCACAGCCCCCGAGCCGACCGCCGGGCCGGGCGCCTCTTGGAAGCGGCGCCCCCCCGCGCCAGACTCCTCCGACTCCTCGTCCCGCGAGAAGAAGAGCGCCTGCAGCAGCCGGCCGAAGACGAGGTAGCAAAGCAGCACGCCAAACGCGTAGAAGAAAGGGGTCATCTCCCCGAGGTCGTCGCTCGCCGCGGCGGCGGCCGCCGCCTCGCAGTCCGCCGCCCCGCCTCCGAACAGGCCGTCGATCAAGCCTCGCTCCTCGCCGCTAGCCCGCTGAGAGCACGCAGCGTACGCCTTCGCGCGCTCGACGGCGTGGTTGCGCTCAGCGTAAAAGATTGGTGCCATCGTCACGTGCAGGAAGAGGAGGGCCTGTGACTCAGAAGAGAACGGTCTAAGGTGTTAGGCACAGCAAGCCGTGCAGGGGAGAGGAGGGCCTGCAGGAAGACGCGAGACCGCTTGGCCAAATCGTCGTCGAGGGCACTGGGCCGCGCGTACACCTGAAAGGTGCTCGGGAGCAGGGACTGTTGCATGGTTACTCTGATACCGCACTGTCCTTCTCATGACTGCACCTTGATGAGCATGAACTTTTGCACGGCGGCGGAGAGGAGCAGCGAGGTGCCGCCGATGAAGTAGAGGATCGGGGCCTGGGGGAGATCGCCCCAGATCTCGCGAGACTTGCCGGAGTTTCCCGAGATGGAGCAAGGGATGGGGCACCGCGGGCGCAAAGACGAGCACCACCGCCGCCATCTTGAGCATGTGTGCGTACCTGTGACTCAGCCAATCCTCGATCAGACGAGCACCGCCGCCGCCGTCTCGAGCGCGCGCGCGTACCGGTCGGCGAAGCGCCACACCGGCGGCTCGTAGAGGGCCTACTCAGTTACTTCTTCATTGATTACCGTTGATTCATTAACTACCACGCCGGCGGCTCGTAGAGGGCGTTGATGCTCCGCTGCGCGCGCTTGAAGCGGGCGAGGGCCCGCATAGCAACGACCCTGCACAGCGTGAGCACCTCCGAGAAGAGGACGAGCAGCACGATGTCCGTGATTGCGATCACAACCATCTGCGTCACCACCCCCGACTCGCCGTACCAGTCGAAGCCGTAGAGGCGGGTGACCAGCTCGCCAGTCACCTGTCGGAAGGTGGCCTGGGCGGCGCCGAAGGCGGCGGAGGCGCACTGAGCGACGTGCTGGAACGGCTCGCTCAGCGAGGCCGGCTCCTCACTCAGCTCGTCATGCAGCATCGCCGCGCACAGCCGCACCGCCCCTTCCACCGACTCGTCGCCTGCAGTGAAGGAGCGGCCGATGGCTCACGAGTGCGCCATTCGCTGTCACTCCCTTCCGCTCCGACACGACACCTGCGGAGAGGGCGTGCTTCGTCGAGTTGAGGAGCAGCGCGGTGTACCCCTCCCCGTCGGGCAGCGGCGAGTGGACGCGCAGCATGAGCAGCACGTAGTTGAAGATGTAGACGCTCGCCGAGGTGACCATCGTCTTGAGCTCCATCGCGCTCCACGAGCCCGGCTTCTCGAGCTCGACGAGGAAGCCGAGCCCGACGCGAGCGCCGACGTTGAGGCCGACGATGGTGCCTGTTCAGAGCGGGAGGGGTGGCGAGACGCCGTTCACACTCCCGCCGCCCCCGCCCGCCGCCGCCGCGGCCCGAGATGAGGACGACGAGGCTCTTTTCCGTGTCGATGCCCGGGATGCCGGTGAGCTGCGCGGAGACCCAATCCACCAGCGGGTGCAGAAGCGCGTCCACGGTGTCGTCGCCGTCGGCGTGCAGCGACGCCGCCGTCTCTCGGTTGCCGGCGAGCTGCCTGATACGTGATTCATCGCGGTGAGGCGTCGGCAAGTGAAAGACTCTCGGCTGGGCTGCCGGCGGGCTGCATCTTGATCTCGGTCATGGTGAGGACGATGTTGAGGGTGAGCATGATCGAGATGACGATGACTGCCCAGTTGACAAGCGGCATCACCCAGCGCCGACAGGTCGAGCCCTGGGACGGCCGTTGGGCGAGGGTCAGGGTTTGGTGTCAGGGTTAGGGCTGGGGCTGCAGATGGTGCAAGAAAGCGCACTATTCGCGCCAATTAACGGGAGGTTCGTCCAGATCTGCTCAGTATGAATCACTAGTTGGAGGACCTCGTACGGGAGGTTCTTCCAGATCAGGTCGGTCGGCTCCGGAGCGCGGTGCACGCGTAAGTAGCCAGCGAACCTAGCAACCCTCTCCCCGTCCCTGCCGCAGCAGCCAGGGGGGCGGAGAGGGTACCCGGCGAGCTTTGCGTAGGTCGCGCCCAGCGCAGCGCCGCCCGCGGCGCCGAGCAGCCCGCCAGAGTACGCGGCGGCGCGGCGGGAGCCCATGCCCAAGGCGCGCGCGGCGACGGCCCCAAAGACAAGGCCGAAGGCGCCGCCGAGAGCGCCGGCGAGCAGCGTGCAGATGGCGGCCTCGGGGTGGTCGAGCATCCGAAGCCGCCGGAGGCGGTAGCCCAAGCCGAGCGGGTCGCAGCCGCCAAAGAGCAAGCCTGCTCACAGCTGGCAAGGTGAGGAGACGCCGTTCACAGGCGCCGAGTCCTTGCGGCCAGCAGAGAGCGGGCCCGCGGTGCCGCAGATCACGCCTCCCAGGTTGGCGAGGTGGGAGGGGGAGAGGCCCGGAAAGAAGCCCGCGAGGAGGCGGGAGGAGGGGCCGAAGCAGACCCCCGCCAGCGTGAAGGGGCCGAGGAAGAGCAGCGCGCACACCCAGGAGCCAAGCCGCTCCCACGGCCGCCACGCAGAGCGCGACTGCTCCGCGTCTCCCGCGTACCGAAAGGTGACGAAGCACCGGTCCCCCACCGCCACCGACGAGGCCACGCCGCCGCCCGCGCCTCGAGCCGCCACACTCGACCATCCGCTGGCGCCGCTACCGCAGCCGCGCGCGCCGCTGCACTCCCCTCCCTGCCCGCCCTCCCCTCCCCGCCCGCCCGCCGCTCCGCCGGCGGCAGACGCATCCGAGGCGCGGAAGCCGCGCAGCCGATCCCGCAGCCACCCGCAGCCACGTGACGCTCTCGCCTGCTCCGCGGACGCGTCCACCGGCAGAAACCCCCCTCCTCCACTTCCTTCTCCTCCGCCTCCCCCCCCTGCACCGCAGCCGCTTCCGCCGCCGCCGCCTCCGCCGCCCTCGCCGCCTCCGCCGCCCTCGCCGCCGCCGCCTCCTCCGCCGCCAGCCGCCGCTCGCTCGCTCGCCCCTCGCACCACGTCACCAAGCCTCTGGCGCGACGGCGACGCGGCGGCGGCGTCGGCTGCCCGAGCTGCCCTTGCCACCTCGGCAAGCCTACTCAATCAATTCTTTTCGAATTGCCCGTTGACTGAAGCCCGGGCCGCCCTCGCTCCGTCGGCGAACCGGTTCGCACGCACTCTCCTTGGCGATGAAGTCGGCGGAGCCGGCGCGCTCGGCGGACGCGGCTCGGCGGCAGCCATGTCTGCTCGCCCCCCGGCGGCCGTCTCCGCGGCGCCGTCCAAGTCGACGAGCTCGGCGTAGCCGCCTCCTATCAGCGGCGGATTCAGTGAGTCGCAGCGACCGGCTCGTCCGAGCCGACGGGCTCGGCGCTGCCGCCACCGTGTTGGGGTGCGATGGCGCGGGCCAGCCGCCCGCCGCCTCCTGGCAGCTTGCTCGCCACGGAGCGCAGCTGGGCGGCGAGTGCGGCGGTGCCGCCGGTGACCGAGCCGCGCTTTGGGGGCCTCCCGGCAGTCTCGGCAGGAGGCTGCTCTGCTGGCCACTCGCTGTTGGCGCCACGGAGGCTGCCGCGGGCGAGAGCGGTCAGCTGCGCCTCCTTGCGCTCGAGATCGCGAGCATCCTGCCGCTCCTTCTCCTCGATCTCGCGCTCGAAGGAGCCCCAGCCCGCGCAGACCTAGCCACTCGGGGAAGGCCTTTGGTCACTGGACGATGGCCTCATCACCGACTTGGTCACCCATGCCGGCGCGCAGACCGAGTGCACGACCAAGGCGCTCGTCTCCAGCGGCACGGGCGCCTCGTCGAGGAGAGCGGCGGTGGCGCGCAAGGCGGCGGGGGTGCAGCGGCCGAGCGCGCCCGTCGCAGGATCCGTGGTCGCGCGTGCGAAAGCGGCGGTGGAGGAGGAGGGAGGGGGGAAGGCGGCGGCAGCCGAGCCGGCAGAGCGCATTGGTGACGCGACGGCGTAGGCCTTGCCTTGCGCCTCGACGCGCGCCTGGAAGTGGCTGGCGACGGAGGAGGCCGCCTCGAGCTCCCTCTGGTGGAGCGGCGCGCGGCGGTACGTGTCTCCGGGCGGGTCGCCTAGGAAGTGTCTAGGAAGTGTCTAGGAAGTGTCTAGGAAGTGCCTAGGAAGTGTCTAGGAAGGGTCGCCGACTAGGTCGAGCGAGAGCTCCGTGTGCGAGAGCTTGCGGCGGGAGCGCTGCCTACGTAGTTCTTCCTCTCGGTGAGGCACGAACTAATGAATGAACGCGTTCGGCGGCAGCGCTGCCTACGTAGTTCTTCCTCTCGGTGAGGCACGAACTAATGAATGAACGCGTTCGGCGGCAGCGCTGCCTAAAGAATCACTAGCCTCGGTGAGGCGCGGGCTAGTTAATGAGAGCTTGCGGCGAGAGCGCTGCCTCCGCCGGTCCCACGACCGTACAACCTCTGTCGCGAAGAAGTCTGCGACGTCCTCCTCGCTGCGCACCGCCTCGGGGGGGAGGGAGGAGAGGCCCGACACGGCGACGGCGTAGTCTGCAGCGGAGATGGTCGACTCCTGCGTCGCCTTTGCGCGCCTCGCGTTGTTGGACGCGAGCCAGAGCAGGTACGCGGTGAAGATGACGGTGCCGGCGAGCGAAGTCATGCCACCGTTGAAGACGGACAAGTTGGCGTCCTTGCCTGACTGGGCGCCGAGGGTGGAGCCGACCAGGAAGAGCTCGAGCCAGTGGCCGCCCATCCCGTCCTCGAGCGCGCCCGCCTGTAGCTGGGTCTGGTAGTGCATGTACATGTTCTTGAGCATCGCCTAGGAAGTGTCTAGGAAGTGTCTAGGAAGTGTCTGGTAGTGCATGTGCATGATCTTGAGCATCGCCTAGGAAGTGTCTAGGAAGTGTCTAGGAAGTGTCTGTGGTAGTGCATGTGCATGATCTTGGGCATCGCCGTCATCGAGACGAAGCCCATGCAGAAGAAGCAAAGCGCGAGCGAGGAGAGCTGGCCGAAGAAGAGCTCGACCTGCGCGGGCGGCTAGGAAGTGTCTAGGAAGTGTGAAGGAAGTGTCTAGGAGGTGTGAAGGAAGTGTGTTGGGAGTGTCTCGGAGCTGTCCATCGAGAGTGGGCCGTGCCGTGCCGTGTCTCTGGTGGGAGAGGGCGCGGGAAGGGCGGAGGGCGATCGCCTTGGTGACTGGTGGGAGAGGGCGTGGGAGGGGCGGAAGTGTAGCGCACCCCGATGCCGAGCTCGTGCAAGTCTGAGGATGCGCCGCCGAACGAGAAGGAGGACGAGTCGAGGAACGAGTACGGCAGCACGAGCAGCATGGGCTGGCCGCGAGAGGCGGAAGGGACGGGGAGGGGCTCCTCCGTCTCGAGCGACTCTTCTGGAGGGACCAGGTACCAGCCGTGTGCGTACTGGCCGCGCGAGTCAGCGATGTTGAGCACCGACGCCTGTGAGCAGGCACTCCTGCTGTGAAGAGCTGCGGTGGGAGGAGTCGGCGATGCTGAGCACCGGCGCCTCAGACTGGTCCGTCGCGCTGCCGACGCCCAAATCGCACTCGCGCAGCCGCCTCCACTTGTGCGCGTCTCTGCCGACGGGCTTGTCGCTGCTGCTCGCCGAGAAGGTCTCGATGATGCCTGGCTCGCAGCTCGAGGCGTAAAGAGACGCTGCCCACAGCCAGAGGTGTGAAGAGGAGGGGCCGAGGCTGCCGTGCTTCGCCGGCCGCGCGTGCATGAGCTCCAGCGGCAGCCTATGGATGCGGGGTTTGCAGAAGCGCTTCCGATGCGCTTGCGGGCGGCATCCGCACCACAAGCTCGAGCCGGCAGCCTCTCTCCGACGCCTTGCTCGTCGACGGCGATCTTTTGCCACACCGACCCATCCTCCTCCACCCTGGTCTCCGGCCGCATCATGTACCAGTGCGACAGCTCGCCCGGCGGCATGTGGCCTCGCACCTTGACCTGCGGCCGGCGGTGCTGATCAATCACCAACTAGTCATCTACTTACTCAACGCGCTGCTGGCCTGCAGCGTGCGGTGCAGCGCTCATTACTTAATTAATTAATTAATAAACTAAATTCATTCATGGCCTGCAGCGTGCGGTGCAGCGCCCGCAGCAGCAGCGAGCGAGCCTCGGCCTTGCGAAGCGCGTCCGGCAGCTTCTGCCGCTGCAGCAGCTGCAGCAGCCGCCTCCGCGCCTCCTGCACCACCTCCTCGACGCTGCCTCTCCCGGACCGCGAGCTGGCGACGGAGCGCTGCAGCTGGTAGGCGTCCTGCGTGAAGGTGCGCGTGCGGCGGGGTGGCTCGTGCAAGGAGCGGCGCGAGAGCGGCGTGGCGTCCTCGGACGAGGGCGGAGCGACGACCTTCAAGAGCACGTCCTCTGATCATTGACAATTATAATTAAGTCCTAGATGATCGGACGAGGGCGGATCGACGACCTTGAAGAGCAATATTGATCACTTATTAGTAGTTCAGTCCACTATTAGACGAGGGCGGAGGGGCGACCTTGAAGAGCACGTCGTCGAGCAGCTCCGCCTAAGAATGGATGACTAACCATTCACTGTTACCTTTTCATCAGCGGACCTCGTCGAGCAGCTCCGCCTCGCTGCTGCCATCCGCCCGCTTTGGCGGCTTGACCTAGTGGCAGTAGCGAGCGACTCGTCAAGAAGAAGAAACACCCCGAACAAACGCCAAGCTGCTGAGGGGCGGCTCGGCCTCGTCGTCGTAAAAGTAGACGAAGCCGCCGTCCGGCCAGTAGTTCTCCACGCCAGGCAGGCCGGGGATCTGCTCCGACGGAGCGAGCCAGCAGAAGCCGGTGACGCCGATGTCGATGAGCGGCTGCAGCCTGCGGAGTGGCAAGGGGCTGCTCAGACACTTGCGAGAGGAGTGGGTTGGCGGGTCGAGGAGCGCGGGCGCCGGACGCGCGAGACGCGGCTCGAGTCGTAGAGGAGCCCGCGCAGCTGCGGCGAGGGCAGCTGCCGAGGCCCGTCAAAGTAGAGGCCACTCCCCTCCTCCAGCGCGTTGACTCCGCAGACGCGGTGCCGCTCGTCCCAGTACACGAACCCTCCGAAGGACAGGAAGGAGAGGAAGAGGGTGGCGGTGTCGCGGCCTCCGCCGGCTCCCACCTCCTCCGCCGGGTCACTGCGGAGAGACAGGTCCGACGCGCCGACGAGCGGGTAGGCGAAGGCGAAGGTCGCAGCGTTGGCGGGGATGCCGGCAGCCTCCTTGGCTTCGTCGTTGAGAGTGACCTTGGAGCGCGGCGAGAGGCGGCCGTCGAGCCCGTCCTCGTCCGGGAAGTGGTGGACGACCAGCCCGGCCAGTGTCTTGCATGCCAGGTCGACCGTGTAGTGCCCGCCGTTGCGCGAGTGGATGGAGTGGGTGGCGAGGCCGATGTCAGCCCACGAGATTGGCTGTGGGAGGAAAGGGCCGACGTCGTGCAGCGGCTCCTGGTGCATCGACCGGCGCCGCTGCTCCATTGCGCAGGGAAGCTCGTACGCCAACGGTGCTCGAGAGGTCCTGCGGCGCGGCTGCAGCGCGCTAGCGCCGCCGCGCCCTGGCAAGAAAAAGAATTTAAAAGTAGAACTCTCTCTCACAGCACACAGGCTCGACACAGGTGCGAACTGGCGCGTGCTAGTACTATCACCGGCACACCACCGGAGCCGCCTAAGCGACTCCGTTAAGAACGGCAATGCACTTTGCACCGTGCACAATGCCGCTGTCCCCGCACGAAGAAAAAGAATTTGGATCCGGCTGCCTCGCACAACTCCCTCAATTGGGTTGTCCGTTTTCTTTCTTTCTTTCTTACTGGGCACGAAGGTTGCAGCGAGAATCGGAGAGAGACTGCGAAGTGAGATAGGAAGAGGCGGACGCCCAAGGGTGGGCGACGGCTAGCGCACCACACCCCTGTGCCTCTCCTTAAAATCCCTGTGTGGTGGCGGCGTGCCGTTCTCCCATCCCTCCCTTGGGTTGTCTGTTTTCTTTCTTTCTTTCTTACTGAAAATTTTACGAAATCCGGAACGTCGCCTCGAGACCATGGTGCGCCCCCCCCCCCCCCCCCTTGCCCGGGGCGGTGGCGCGCGCGAGCGCCGGGGTACTTTGGACCCGCAGTCTGGCTGGCGCACACTCGCACTTAACACAGGTACACTACGGGAGGGCCAAGCGACTCCAGCGAGGGCGGCGAGGCACTTAAGCTTAGCTTCGTGCACAGAAAAAGAATTCATCGTCTTGCCATAAGCAAATGCAAACCGCTCACCCACGGCCCACGCGCACTGGGCCTTGCACGTCAAATGCCATGGGGCTCCAGTCGTCTAGACGTGGAGTCGCGAGGGTTTCATACCACCACCGCGCACTGCCGCTTCCTTTTTTCGCGCCATCCCGCAGCTTCCGCCATTTCGTGAGCCTATCGTGCGCGTTGCAGTGGCTGGGGGCCTTTCGGTAGTCGCTCTGCCACTGCGTGCACTCTCTGGCTGGCGCGTCGCAGATGTAGCAGTAGCAGCAGGGGCACGCCGCGGCGTTGCCATGGAGCGGCCGTTTGGCAAAGGCACCCTGCGGTGCCCTGAACGGCGCCGAGGGACAGAGCGCGCGTGCGTGCGGCAAGTTTAGCAGCCCGCCCGTCGACGCCGTAGCTTGTACCTCTTGTTCTCCGTCACGGGCCGCCAAGGCGGTGCGAGGCGGAGGGGGCGGAGGCGCCACTTCCTCGACATCGCTCGTATATCCCCTGCGCCCATCTCCACCTTGACGCGTCCGCCTTCCTTACCTGGTGCCTCCACCTCCGCCTCCACCTCCTGCTCCAGCACCTCCCGAGTGCGCCTGTCGAACAGGCTGCTGCCAGTCGGTACGCCGAGCTTGACTGCTGCTGCAACTGTGCACGCGCCCCGGCCCTTCAGCTTCCCCTTGCTGGCGACGCCGATGCGGACTGCGACGCTTCATGGCGGACCGCTCTCTCGCGAATGCCATTCACCCCCCCCCCCCCCCCCCCCGAGCAAACGAGCGTCAATTTCGGCGCGTGATTTCCGAGCAAACGAATTCAGGAAGTTTGCGCGCAGATTTCTTTCACTACGGTGTTGGCGGATTCGATCATCTGCCTGAGGACGACTTCCTTTATGGCGAGGGCGACGGCTTCTAAGGAAGCCGTCCGTCGCCTGCGCCTTGTCTGTCGTGTGAAGCACCTCAACCTCTCACAGACCAGCGCATAGCGCCATAGGACGTATTTTCTTCTCATAACAAGGCTGTGAATCGTGCGTGTGCGAAAGGCTTTTACGGTGAAATTCTTACACGCAAAATTCTTTTTCTCGGTGTTCTCGATGCTCCTGCAGGCCATCGGGTCGTCTAGTCGGCTAGTCACCAGCGTCCACGGCGGCCGCATCTGACGCCGGTGTCGCCCTCCCAGGTCGTCGCGCTCTCGCTGCTGCCTCGCACGCCTGTGCCGCGCCAGTCGCTTCGGCCGCTCCACGTCGTCATGTCCGCACTGACCGCAGACGACGACCTTCCGATCGTGATCGCGGGCGCCGGGCTGCACGGTGCCGCGCTTGCTTACTACCTCACACAGCGCGGCGAGAAGCCTCTGCTGGTCGACAGGCACTCAGTCGCCGCCGCTGCCAGCGGCAAGGGCGGCGGCTTCCTCGCGCGCGATTGGGGCAGCGGCCCGACCGAGCAGCTGCACACCACCTCCTTTGCGCTGCACCAGGAGCTCGCCGAATCTCTCGGTGTCCAATCCTACCGATCCCCGCCCTTTGACTAGCAATTAATAGTTCAGTGTCGATTGAAGGCATCACTTCGTACCGCAAGATCCCCGTCCTGTCGGTGACGCCTGGCGTTCGCTCAAAGAGGACGGCCGACGTCGGGCACCCGCGGCTGGTCCCATCCTGACTTGATGAGGAGGAGTTGGTGGTGGATAGGACGACCGACATCTGCCCGTGGCTCGACGGCGAGATCGCCGACTCGCGCTGGATGGACCGAGACGGCGGGGCGCAGGTGGCGCCGCACGAGCTCTGCACCAAGCTCGTCGAGGCTGCGCTTTCGGCGGGCGCCTCGCTCCGCATCGGCGCTGTCGAGGGCATCGAGAAGAGTGGCGGCGACGCGTCAATGTCGGTGTCCGCAGTCGTGATTGACGGCGAGCGGTCCGCGTGCTGCGCTATTGACTGCAACCAACAGTGACATCTCGTCTTGTGCTATGTCCTCAGGCGAGCGGGTGGCGTGCCGCGCGTTTGCTTGCACGATGGGCCCGTGGGCCGCCCTCGCGCAAGACTGGTTCGACACGTCCCTGCCCCGATGCCCGGCATGGCTGATTGGTTCCTTGACCATTGTGGTTGGACAACTCACTCAGGTTCGACATCCCCGTCCCGATGACTGGCATCAAGTCGACCTCGATCGTCTTCAAAGACGCGAGTCGCGAGGCGGAGCTAATGAATTAGTTAGTGAGCTAATGAATGAATGAATTAATTAATTCAAAGACGCGAGTCGCGAGGTGGAGCCCTTCGCTCTCTTCTGCGGAGAAGACAGCCGGTTCGGCACGCACCTCGAGGTGTACCCGCGCAACAGTGGCGAGGTGTACTTGTGCGGCATTGGCGGGTCGGAGTATGTCGATGCCGACGAGCTGCGCGCAGGGAAGTACCCACCGGGCCAGGTGCAGAGATTCCCCGAGACTCCCCGAGACTCCCCGAGATTCCCCGAGATTCCCCGAGATCACGCTCGGAAACACCCCCCAGCTCAAGGATTAATAATGAGTAATTAAGGACCCCCCTCCCCCCGGGCCAGGTGCACGCCGACCCTGCGCGCGTCAAGGCGGCGACGGACTCCTTCTCGACGATGTCGAGGCGGCTGGGAGGGACGCCAGACACCGTGCAGGCGTGCATGCGGCCGTGCCCCCCCGACGCGCTGCCGTACATGGGGCGAGTGCGGGGCTTCACCAACGCCTACATGTCGGCGGGCCACAACTGCTGGGGCATTCTGTGGGCGCCCGTCTCGGGCAAGGCGAGGAGGGCTCGAGGTGGCCCGAGACGGACCGAGACTGTCCGAGCTCACCGAGATCGTCCGAGATTAGGCGATGTCAGAGCTCATCCTCGACGGCCGAGCCCCCCCCGTGTGCTGCGACCTGCTGTGAACCGGGGACCGCTGTGAAGAGGGGACCGCTGTGAACAGGCGAGGCGTCCTGCGTCGACCTGCGCCCCTTCGACCCGGCGCGTTTCGCTAAGAAGAAGTCGGGCGGTCGGGGCCGGAAGCGCGGGGAGGAGAGCGTGGGCGAGCAGTGGTGAGAGACGAGAGGCAACGCCCCGTCGTACGTCGCATTCCGCTCTGGCAGTTTGGCTCTCTCTGGCGCTGCCGGCTGCGAGCTGGCTGCGAGCCCGGTGTCCAGTCGTGTGTGTAGGAAACTCGCAGCGACAATTTTTGCAATCGACGTAAACCTTTTTCCCGGAACATCGCTCTCGGCGGGTGCAGACGAGACTCGAGAGACGTTGCCAGAGCAGAGGTAAGGTAAGGTAAGGTACGGTAAATTTCTCCACACACACAAAGTGGTGGGGCAAGGGGGGGCGACCCTCGCATCTCCACACCCGGACACGGGCAGGAGCCCCACGGCATTCAAAGTGCAAGCACTGGCCCGGTGCACGTGGGTGAGCAGCCTGCCCCTCCCTCCCGACAAACCAACTCCCGCACACACACAATCGCACTCTGGCCATCGAATGACTCCGAATGACTCACTGTGTATGCTAAGACAGAATCTCCGCAGACATCCAAAACGGGCCGTGCCGCGTTTGTGGTGTCTTCTCAAGCACTAGCATCCGGGCGCCGCACTCGAGTGGGGCGGGTCACATCTATGTGGGCCCAGTGTGCGCACTCGGCGCATATGCTAGTGCTATCCTGCCCTATGGGAGGCAGAGGGATGGGGGGAGGGGGGGGCAGAGGTAAGGTGGGGTGAGACTGACTACTGCCAGGACGCAGGACCAGGAGGGCAACCAACTCATGGGTAGTGCAGAATCGTCCCCCCTCTACAGCTGAACGATGGGTCCGTGCTTTGGTTTCACAACACGTTTGGTCCTCGCTATGGTACGGCTCACCAGATGCGACAGGAGGGTGAGTATCTCCGCGCTCGCACTATTTCACGTTATATCAGGCGCTGTCTTTGCAAGAACCGCAGCAGCGGTGGTTGAGCCGGTCCGCCGGGTTCGAGCCGGGAGCTTTTGGCTCCAGGTTCGATTCCCGCGAGGAAGGTCGCTTCGCTCTCGCGGAGCGAGCGCGGGCGCGCGACGCGTGCGCGCGCGTGTGCGCTGCTGCAAGGCGAGGCGCGGCGCGGCGTGGCGCGGCGCGGCGCGGCGAGGCGGGCGGCGGCGGCGCGCGTTCGTTGCTTTTGCTCGGGTGATGATGCCGCACGCTGAAAAGTCCTTGGTGACCCACCGCGGTGGCAGCGAGCCAGAGCAAGCGACCTGCCGCATGACGGGTTGACCCGAAAAAAGAAATTTTGGCAAACGGAACGATATAGATCGTCGCGAGAGAGCGGCGCCGCCGCGTGCGCGCAGCAGCCGCCGCGGCAGAGGCGAGCCGCGGCGACGTCCGCACTAACGGATAACGGCCATTGGCGGTTTTTCTCTCTCTCTCTCTCTCTCTCTCTCTCTCTCGACCCTATCCAGTGCTCAAGTGCTCAAGCTAGGGGGTGGCAGCGCCCCAAAATCCCCCAGTGACTCTGAAAAGCTGGCTATGTACCTTTCTGAGCGCTGTGGTCGCCGCAGACTGGCTCCAACTTGACGGCGGCATGGAGACGTGATGCCTTCATGCCGCCGTCAAGTCGGAATCGACATACAGCTCGATGGTTTGCCCGAAAAGGTACGTAGCGGCGTTTCTGGCGACAACAGCGCTGCGACCGCGAAGTGGCGGTGGACATGCTCCCACGTTGCCGACGCAGCGCCGGAGTGGCCGGCGCTGCTCGCCGCGACCACGACGGCTACTCTGATACTCCGGGCCGACCCGTCCTACCCGACGGTGGCACTCTTCCACGTCTCGCTCACGCGCTGAGAAAATCTGAAACGGCGTGCAGCAGAGTCACCGACGAGTCGGTCCGCGTGCCTCCTCGTGTCCCGTACCATTCTCACACATCCATAAACTCACTTTGGCCTCACTGAAGCGATGCCTGAATCCTGAATCCTCAGATTTTAGATTAGGACGCTGCGCACCCTCTACGCCTCACAATCGGACAACTTCTACCAGCTACCCCACCACTGAACGCCGATGACGGGCGCGACACCCCTCCGGTCCGCGCCCTCGCCGACCGGCTCGCGCCGGCCGAGTCCGCCGGCTCATTCTCTCGAGCGCGCGACCAGCGCCTTCCGCGCCTCCTCGTAGGTGGCGTACGAGATCGCCACTGAAGGGATCGCCTGCTCACAGCAGCGGGTGTGATTCGGCGGCCTCCACAGCTGTTGAGATGGCCCGCCGGCGGAGCCGCCTTGCTAAAGTTGGGCCCTATCCCGCTGTACAAAGCGCGCACACCGCCCGCCGCGACCGTCTGGCGCAAGCAATCGAGGGCGCCGGTGTACTGGGGCATGCCCGACATGCCCTGCGCCTGCTGGCAGTCGACGAGGCGTGAGAAACCGCTCGGACCCCCCGCCCGCCCGACACCCTGGTGCGTGCCTGCAGCCGGGTGCGGATCAGCTGCAGCGGGTAGGCAACCACCTACAAGCAGTAACCAGGGTGTTGGAGTCAAGCGGGCTAGACAGATGCGCGTGGCCGAGAATTAAAATGTTCGGCCACCTGGCCGCAGACCGACGAGACGGCGCCGCACCCCAGGAAGACCAGTGGGCCGGGGTCGGCGCCCGGGTTGCGGTCGGCGTACTGGTCCTTTAGCGTCTGATACACCATCATGTCCGTACCCGCGTAGGGGATGATGCCGGCGATTGAGGCGCCGAGCCCACCAAACAGCCCTCTCCAGCCCTCGTGTTGCAGCACTCTCCGCACGGTGTTCGCCACGCTGCTGTACTCGGAGCCGCCCGTCGAGAGCGCCATGCGCGTCTTGACCGTCTCCAGCGGGTAGATGACCGCTTGGGCGATGGCGCCCGCGATGCCGCCAGAGACGAAGCGCTCCAGCGTGGTCGGCGACGAGGCGTCCTCGCAGAAGCGCGCCTTGAGCAGTCCGTAGGCGAGGAACTTGACGCCCGACTCTGGCGCAATCTTTAGCACATTCGCAAAGTTGCCGCGCCAGAAGCCGAGCGCTCCGTCCGAGGCGAGGATGGAGCGCGCCACGAGCGGTGCACCCCTCGACGCATCGATCTGCATCATCGTCTTGATGCGGTCGATCGGCGCCGTCGCCGTGCGCGAGACGGCGCCGGCGATGGCGCCCGCCGCGAGAGAGACCCACACTGGCTCTGAGACGGCGTCCTTCTCGTCGGGCGGAATCGCGGACCCCTCGCCAACGTCGATGGCAGAGGAGTGGTGAAAGTATTCGAAGAGCGCGCGCACATTGCGCGCGGGCAGCAGCAGGCAGAACTGGCGGAACGCGAGAAAATCTACCTCTGGGTCTGCATCCACGTCGCCCGAGCCGGCGCCGTGCGCCATCTGCTGCACCATCCTGCGGAGGCGTCGGTCGTCGACACGGATACTCATCCGGTGCAGCGCCGCGCGAAGCTCCGCGGCCGTCACCTTGCCGGTTCTGCTCGTGTCGATCTCGTCGAACATGCGGCGGAGCAGCTCCTCCTGCCTGCTGGTGTAGGCGACAAACTCCGAAAAGGAGATCTTGCCGTCCTTGTTGGCGTCCATTGCGCTGAAGGACTGAGGGAGGCAGCAGAGGCGTCACCGGAGGGTGTGGTGGTCGCGGGGGCGCCGTGGCGCGCGCCTGAGCCAGCAGCGCGCCGTCCGGAGAGTGGCCCTGTCGGAGAGGCGAGCGAGGGGCTGGGACTTGCGCTGCAGCTGAGATCGCAGGCCAGCGTCGGTGGGTGCCGGCCTCTCCTCCCGAGCTGCCGGGGGACGTGCGTGCACGTGTGCATGAGTGGTGAGTGATGGGCGGATCGTTCTCTGCGCCACACCTGGCGGATGAGGCAGACCCGGAGCTCGTCGACGTCGACGTAGCTGTTGGCGTCGAGATCGATGCCGTCGAACGCCGAGCGCAGGACACGCAAGCCCTCCTCTGCCGCCGCGTCGGCGTCTCTGCCGCCCCTCCGTCCGGGTGCCATGTGCCGACAATCGGACGCACGACCGAGAGTTATCGAGTTCTCGAGAGAGATTCTTGCATTTTTGCTCCCGGCTTAGGGAGCAAGCAAGCCCCCTCAACCCCAAGTACTCACCATTCTTACAGTGGTGTAGCTTGTGCAGAGGCTGCAGCCTCTGCTGGGGCGGAATGCGCGGGGTTTTCGGCGCGATGCCCTCGGCGAGTACACGCTACAGCTGTGCCGCACGCTCTCCTGCGCGCGCGTGACGTGTGGGACGCGTGCGCTGCGCTCAAACGTCGCGATTTGGCGATAGGCGCTCGAGCCGGCGCACAGCGGATAGGTGCGCCGCGCAGGGGGGGTCGGAGGGGTGCGAGAGGGGGCGTGGGTCGGGCGCGCACCGGCTGGCTCCGGGAGCGGCCGTCACGTCGAAGAGGGGGGCTGGTGCTGCTCGAATGACGAGGCGTGCCGCTCCGCTGCGCTGCCGACAGCCCGCTCTTCCGAGCCGGCGCGTGGAGGCGAGCCGCGGCCGGTGTCGCTGGTGCGGGGGCGGCGCCACCCTTTTATTCCCCCCCAGGGGCCC